TTTATCAAAAGCTATTATATACATACAAGATACAAAATTATGTCAAACATAAACCTGCATGATCAATGAACTTTGTTTAAACACACAAAAATATTATGAAAAATAAACAAAATTATTAACAACAATAGAGAGAGCAATATTTTATGCTACCTGTACTATAGCAAGAATTCAACCCCCTTGCTAGATACCGAGTGCCAGGATGCAGCCTACTACGACGAGCAATGAGAGCAACAACCCCTTCTTGTTGCCCTAAGCTTCCAAAACCCCGACAATCTGCAAACCCCTATGAATTGGCCTCACTCCAATGAGAATGAATATATGCCAGGAAAATAAAAGCATTGAATATGGTTTCAGTACAGGGTGAATCTGTTAGGTTACATGTACTGAAAATGTATAGTGACATGGTATGCATTACTCCATAGAGATGCTCAAAGCATAAGATATGAAACATGGAGAGTACAGTGACTCTATAATTGACAAACAAAAATAACAGATAAGTACAGGTTGGAGGGCCTTGGGGTGGTCTTAACATGTTATAGTTTCCTGAGAACGGTTTTTCATCATATGCAGACTAAAGTATGAAACAATAAAGTTCCTGTTATAAATAATCCAAAAACTAAAATATAAGCAAGAAATAATATTCTAAACCTGCAGAAGAATGACGCAATGGTGAGGGAGCCCAATGTTTTTGAATGGAACTGAAAACCATTTATTCCAAACAAACTCGTCATCGGGAGTCTGAAAAGTCATATGGCTAGGATAAGGACGGGTGATGTCCCTAGTTTCACAAAAGTAGTGTTTTCCATCAATGTCAAGGTCAGTTAACTCTTGAACGTTCTTTAATTCACCTTTTCCGACTGGTTGAGGGTTTTGGAGTGATACTTTGATCCATTGACTCTCTATCACAGTATATACACACCCTCCACCAGGCAAATGTGGAATGCTAGCCGACACTTTTGTTGCAACAAGTAACAAACCAAAGTTTCCAAGCGTTGCATAGCCCAATACCGCCCTGGCATAAGTTACGCTCTTGCACAGCCACTTTGACCCATTTGTAATGAAATTCAAAGCTTCATCTTGAGAACGAAATTCATCATATCCAAACTTAGCATTAAATCGCAAAGCTCCAGTTGTGGGATCAACATAGATAACCTGTGTGTCAGTCCTTGAATGCAAACTGACGATGATATAGACCTCGCTAGATTCTAGTGTGACAACAACTACTGATGTTTCGCGTGCATGACCTGTTGTGCCAAGAAAAAAAAGGGTGGGGAAGGAATTACATTCATCATCTCCTGACATTAAGCTAACCAGGTAATTTAACAGCAAACTACTCCCAAATAATCACTAACAAGGTGTAAAAAAGGGAAAGATCAAAGAACCATATTTTAGAGTCCAATGAGTCATACTGAAGCAATCTGATCATTCATTGCCCTTTACCTAGAATCAACTCCAAAGACCACATTGCTTCTCCCGTTTAGACCCACAAATTCTTAGTAATTCTCTACGATTGCTAAACCCAATGATGAAAATATTGATACCCGTGGATACATCGTATCCCTACTAATATAGGAAATGTTGCCAAAATACCCAAAAACGGGCCCTGAATCTTATACAAGGAAATTGAACAGACACCAGAAGTGACACAATTCTCACCAGGTGATGCCATGAATCCAGATTAGATCTGCAGAATTAGAACAGAGCTCAGCTGTCTGGCATTTGACTCGATGACAATAATGGCTATGATGCGGGAGATGAGATGGAATGGCAGAGATTAGTGATGCGATCTCAAGGAAAAAGGCCTCAGCAACGTCCGAGAAACGATCGAGAGAGAGAGGTAGGTGAAGGCGGGGCTCTGGGAGTAGGATTGCAAAGAGAAGCTGCGCAGGCCTGTTTGGAACTCTGTTGGATCTCTCAACGGACTGTTTTATCATTTACGGAGCATGATACTCAGGTGGAAAGGCAAATTGTTGTAAGAGCACGGCCAAGTAAAGAAATGAAATGCCACATAGTTGGCACATTTTAACCAATAGAAAGACAATTTAGTTACCGTGTGATAAGTCATTGTTTTTGTCAATTTTTATGATTTTTTTAATGCATTTTAATTATTAAAAATTTTTAAAAAATTATTTCTTCTAAAAAATTGAAGATGCCTCGCGCCTCACACGCTTGGCGTGGAGGGAGGCTGAAGCCACGTGAGGCAAATTGCCGAGGATGCTAATGTGGCACAGCGAGCGAGGAAATGTCTTGCCGTTGTGCATGCTCTAATACTTGTAAAGTTTTTAATAAGGCTAAAATCCACCATTGGTCCTTTAATTTTATCAGTTGTGCACGGTTGGTCCTTCAAGTTTCAAAAGTCCATAAATAGTCCTTCAACTTTATGAGTTCTGCACGATTGGTCCTTCAAGTTTCAAAAGTCCATAAGTAGTCCTTCAGGTACACGTCAGCCCTCCAGATGAAGTCATTTTAACAGTAAATATTAAAAGTTAAACAAAATACTAGTTTCATATAATATGAATAAACTCCACTAGGTACGACTACTCCGTATTATATGGAGCTAGTATTATATTTAGCTTGTAACATTTACTGTCAAAAGGACCTCATCTAGAGGGCTAACGTGTACTTGAAAGACTATTTATGCACTTTTAAAACTTGAAGGACCAATCGTGCATAACTCATAAAGTTGAAGGACTATTTATGGACTTTTAAAACTTGAAGGACCAATCGTGCACAATTGATAAAGTTGAAGGACCAATGGTGAAGTTTAGCCTTTAAATAAAGAAAATGTTTGAGAATAAACATTAGGATGAAAATGAATATCTTTTGATTCAAAATGAACATCTTGTTTATTCAAAAATAAATATTTGCTGGAAGTACATTCTCGTGCACAACTCATGCTAACGCTTAGCTGGTGGGTGTGGGGCTTTAGTTCGGCGGGGGCCACGCGGCAGCAAATCCCGATCAGGATCCTCATTCCATTCCCATTATTTTTTTAGATTTTATTTTCAAACAATACTTTTATATAATATTTTAGTTCCTTTTTAATTAAATTAAATTTAAATATGAAGAACAAAATTTAAATTAGAAGCTTAAAAATAAAGAAAAAATTAATACTAAACAAGCTAATACAAAAGAAAAATGAGAAAACTTTCACATCTAGAAAAAAGAAGAAACAAACCTAGAAAAAAAGGAAGAAGAAAAAGAAAAAGAAGAAAGATAAAAAAGAAAATTGATCGGCGCGTTCGGCATACTGTTCATGTGTACCCAATCCCGATGGAGTCCGGCGATGTTCATGACGACACCTGTTGCCGACTTTGCCTCCCCGATCCTAGCTAGCAAGACCTGAACCGTTCAACCTAACAAGCGTGGGTGCCTCGTGCATCTCGAGCTATTTCAATGACTCTTTTTTCTTCTTTTTTTTTCATTTTATTTTTAAAATGGATCGTTATGTTCTAAATTAAATAAACTTTCATTTCTTAGTCTTCTACTTCAAACTCTCTCATCCAATTCAATTTTTTTCTTACTCATCTTACTCTATTTCATCTTTTTTCACTACTTTCTTATTTTACAATCATTAGAAGCTCAAAGCAATAGAACCATCCCCATTTTACATCACCGACAGGTCCCGAGTTCTACACATACCCTTGTTTTCCTCACAAGTTTGACGAAATGGCAAATGCATTCACAACCGTCCCAATTATTTCAACCCTCCCAACCGCACCCCCCTCCCCCCATAACCGTCTCAACCGGTCGGAGAAGCTCTGACGTAAGCAACAAGCCATTGCAGAAGTTGCGAAGAGGTAGAACATAAGGTTACCGGTCGAGCGTCAAGGATTACAAATCAATGAATTTAGAAAATTAAAGTGACGATGACGCCGATAGATAATCTTTCAAAGACGGAGAGGATGGTGGCATTGGAAATGAAGGACAAAAATAAGAAAAACTAGCTTGGTGTAATGGCCGATAGCAGTTATAATATAAATTCAAAATAATTGAGATCATTTTACGATGTAATTTTAATGTATAAAAGTTTTATCGCATTTGTTAGTATACAATTATATTTCGAGTCGTGACAACATCAATCGACAATTATAATGTAATTTATTAAAATTAAGTTCATTTTGAGGTATAATTTTAATATATAAAATTTTTACCACCTTTGTTAATACACAATTGTATTAGGTATGTATTAATGGTTTAAGTGTATAAATAGTTGACAAAAAAGTCAAAACTCAAAATGTAGAAAAGTTTTTCAAGACGAAGGGAGTATAATTTCATTTTACTAAATTTATTCCTTTCAAAATATGGTTAATTTACACAATCAGAAGCAATTTGAAATATTTTAAAGTGTCTAATTCTCATCTTTTGGTGGAATAAAAGTTACTTCCTCCATTTTTATTTAACAGTCTGTTTCACTTTATGTGTCTAACGTTTGACTAATTATAAAAATAAAATACACAATGAATTAAAATATAAAAAACACACCAAATTATTAGTATCAAAAAATACTTTAAATTAATTTAATTTTTTTTGCTAATATATTTTAAAAGATATTATTGGTCAAACTTTAAATTCGAAAAGCAAACCAGACAGTTAAATAAGAATGAAGGAAGCAAGAAGCAATTCTAAAATGTTTTCAAATTCTATTCTCGAAATAATTACAAGTACTTTCTAAAAACTTGAGCAAATCTAAAAGTAAAATTTGCACTGAATAATACTAAAACATGTTCTTTCTCAATGTAGTAGTTACATTATTTTATTTTCTAAATAGTTTTGAATAATGTCTAGTGATGGAAACAATACCGGATGATGGTGGACATTTAGTTTGAACAATGTCCAGTAGCGTAGGACATTTACTTGAACATTGGTCAATGACCAGTAGACATTGAACAATGATGCTACATTAGAAAATAAAAACATATGATACTAAAGTCATTATGCTTTAGTATTATTTAGGTAAATTCTCAATCCAAAAACCTTCAGAAAACACCATGAGAAAGTACCAATGTCAATATCTATTGCCTTGTGAAATTTTCAAGTTTTTTTGGTATGCCCAAAAATAAGGCTCCATTTTTTTAACAAAAGAAATGTGTGATTCACATTCATTCTCTCATTTGTATGAATCTCAACCACACAATTTCAACTATCCTAATAATCGTGTTATCACCGTGTTTACAACTCATATTGATTACAACTCGGAACCTTATTTTGGGACGTGACAAGTATATTTGCGTGGTATCACCGTACTTTATCAATACTTCAAACGATCAATATCTACCGTTACAATTTTCACTTTCAGAAATTTGTTGGACCCTCCATCTCTATTGTCCTAAACTTAGTAGGACAAATTAAAGGGAGTAGTACTATTCAGCAATGCCAAGAGAAGTCTCCAAACCTTTGACAAAGAGAGGTAATGTCTTTGAGAAGCCTTGCATAGATGCGTCTACACAGGATTCCAAGGCCTTCATAGCATCCCCCTCCTGCTGTTTTGCATCTACAAATTTGTCTTGACAAACCATCAACGACCTTTTCACTTCTTCCTGTTTACATTAACAAACAAAAAAAGTTCATTATAATCAGAGAATGCGTGAAAAATTAGAGCTCCTGAAGTTATCCTTGTCATCAACGTGCCAACCAACAGTGAGACACTCATGAGTGATGAATATTAGATTTCAATTGGAGATCTAGATTAGTAGCCCTATTTATCACAGATAACTACTCCGCAATACAAATTCTTTTACATGACCATCCCCAATGAACGAGTGGAGTATACGAGTTGAATGGAAACATATGAGTGTGTGCTTTTGTTTCAGTCTGAGATTGGTGGAGAAGCTTAGAGAGTCTTGAAAGGTGAATTCAAATTTTTAGGAGTTGCTTTCTCCATCATTACTTTCTCTGCACAGCTGTTCCAGTGAAGCACCAAGAATAGCATCTATGAAGATTGCTGGCACATGCCAAGATAACCTGCAAAGCTCCTGGGAGACTCCTCCCTCTGCGACAACCAGCAAAACTGCTCCCTAGGCGACAGCTCGCGAAGCTCCCTTCGCAACATCCCATGTTTCCTCATCTCAGACTACGAGGAAGAGGTCTAGGCAGCTCTAGCACACTGTAGCACCACTAAACCTTAATCATTATACTGAACGACCAGGATGTCCTGAGAATCCCTGAGATCAATGAGCAAGTGCATGAAAAGCTTGTCACAACAATCGATCTCTCGATGGCCTAGGTAAGGTGTTGGAGGCTCCGGACGGTTTCCTTGCTTTTATGTTTCTATATGTCTGAATTGATTGAGAGATTTAATATATTTGTGGATTTTGATTTTTTTGCAGCTATGGCTCCCCCCTACCAGCTCTTTCCATCCAGCGCTTAAATGGAAGTTTGTTGAGAGAATTACAAAAGATAAGAATCTCAATCAACTGTAGGAGAGTCTGGCTGATAAGCAAAAAAGGTTGTCGTTCCCAAGGTTGATCTCTGGTGGATGCTGGTTATTGATTTACCACCACAATGTGCCAAAGGGCACATAGAATAAGACATCAACAGAGTGGGATGATTAGACAATAGAGGAAAGACCAGTTTCCCTTGTCGAGCAATCTTAATCTGAAGCTGCCAATTGAGAGGCTGAAATTTTGGGGAGAGAACCATGGAGTCTCGCATATTTCATCTGATTTTAAGTTATAACATAAGTTAGACTATTAAGAACTGATTTTAAGTTATATCATAAGTTAAACTCTCACAGCTGAAACTCAGCTTTGTTGTGGAACTCAAATCGGAGAGTTAACAATTCAACATATGTTATCCTACTGCAGAGAATAAAGGGGCTCTTTAACCAAACGTTGAACATGAAGATTTCATAAAAGTTGTCGGAAATCTTAAATTAGTAGTAAAATGTGATAATTCTTCAAAGTCTCTTCTTGTTTTCCTAGGCTTTAATATCAACCCTATCAGGACATTGATATAAACTTTAACTGATGAAATGCAGATGCAGAATTTAATTTAAAAAAAAGCAAGCAGAAAAGGAGTTTTTACAGCAAAATTAGCCGTCTCGTCCTCAACAAAATACTTGGCCTTGAGAACAGGGACACTGCAATGTTCGTTTTTTACTAGCAAGGTGCATAGATGGTCGTTTTTTACTCCTTTAGATAAATATCTTTTACGGCGGGAGCAATTGCGTGCTTATTAAATTACCTTCCCGAGCTATTATTAACTTGATCATTTTCAGATTACAACCATCGTGGTGCAATCTCGTAAGCTTAAGAGGACCGAATAGGAAAATCTCGAGGGCATGTGAGACAGGCTCCTGAAAGCCATTCAAATGAGAATGTCTGGATACATAAACAGGTTGAACGGGGATGAGTGCAAAGTCCAGCTCCTACCAAGATATTTTCAACTCATCCACTGAAGGGGTGAATTTGCATCTGCGCATGCGACTTTTACATTGATAAGCCCAGTGAGGGGTATGGGTTTTCCTTGGAGCTGGTGACGGTGAGCTTTAAGCAAGGCCGAGTCACCATGAAGGGCTCCATGTGGAATTAGAGAGGGAAGTACCACCACGCTGCGGCATTTGTCACCGTCTGGAATTAGGGAAGTAAACGAAAAATATCTACCTAACCAATATGTAGTAACAGGTCATTATGTTGGGAAAATGAATTGATACACACACACATAGGGGTGTGCACCGGTCCAAAACCGGACCGGACCGGACCGGAACCGGTTAGGACCGGAACCGGAATTGCAATTTCTTTAGGACCGAAGACCGGACCTGTTTATTTCCGGTCCGGACCGGTCCGGACCTGTTTTTTCCGGTCCGGTCCGGTTTTACCCTACTTTAGACCGGAATTTTTTTTATATATTTTTTTGCAATCTTATAAATGAATTAAATTATTAAATAAATTTAGAAAAAAATTGAAATAATAAATTGTTTTTGTTCAAAGTATTTAATAAAAATAGTACTTATAAGTAGTAGCAACAAATTCATCAAAACTCATTTTATAACTTATTCAAATTTATAAACTACCGTAAAAATAATAATCTAAAATAAAATTTCTAAAAGCTACATATTGGAAAATTGAAATTCATGAATCTAAAACTATATGGACCGGATCTAATGCTTTTGGGCTTGAAATTAATAATGGATACAATTTATATAATATATTCCGGTCTGGACCGGAAAATTCCGGGTCAAACCCGGACCGGACCGGAAACCCGGAATCCCTAATTTGTAAAACCCGAGGACCGGACCTGAATCTTCCGGACCGGTCCGGACCGGTCCATTCCGGTCCGGTTCAGGTCCAAAATCCGGTCCAGACCTGTTTTTGAACACCCCTACACACACATATATATATATATATCATATATATGTTTGTATTCCACGGGGAAATAAAAAGCATTTTCAATTCTATTGTCTGGTCTGTTGCAATGACATTGATCTGAATGGATTAAAATTGTAGTGTTTGATTTATAGTGCGTAGGCAATAGTGTATCCTCCCGTTCAGGGTATTGCAAAATCAACCCAACTTTTGTACCAACAACATACACATCTGAAGTGAAATCTTCCACCAAAAAAAATAACTACCCAACTTAGACTATCAAGAGCTGATTATAACCGAAATTAAATTCTCACAGCTGAAGCTCAGCTTTGTTGTGGAATTCAAATCAGAGAGTTAACGTATGTTATCCTAGAATAAAGGTGCTCTTTAACCACACAAAGAACTTAATCTCTTTAACTTCACATAAGGAAAAACACGTCCATATAAATTGTCTTAAATCTGGAATTAGCTAGTAAAATGTGATAATTCATCAAAGTCTATTCCTGCTACCCTGGGCTTTAATATCAACCCTATCTGGACATTGATATAAACTTAAACTGATGAAACCCAGATGCAGATTTTAATTAAAAAAAATAAAAACATGAAGAAAAGGAGTTTGGAATTTTACAGCAAAATTAGCCGTCTCGTCCTCCACGAAATACTTGGCTTTGAGAACAGGGACGCTGCAATGTTCCACACAGTTCTCTATTTCTTCCTGACTCTTTGTTCTATGGAAGCATTCATAAGCGCATTTGAAGTACGCTTGCTGCAAATTAACCAGATAATATGACCATAACACAATCATGACTAGAAATTTGGATACACAGAATAAATGGGAGAAAAACCTGAAGGGTGAAGTGAATGTGGTCTTTGACGCCGGAAAGTTGGGCCTCGGTGGCTGCGGTGATTTCGTGGAGTGTTTTCCTCATTACATCCGCTGCCGCTCGCTCCTCGGCGTCTGCCAAGTGGCCGGGGCGATCCATCTCTCCGATGAAACTGCAATTTTCCCCTGGGGTGTGTAAACAGTCGAGAATCCGAATCCAAGCTCACCAAGAGCAGCAATAGCACCCAAACACGAACAATCTCAATGAGAAACAATCCTAGTCAAAAAGCTCAATTGTCTGCACGGCCTAGGTTATTGAGACCTCCAATCATGACCTAAAAGGATGACCCATTGCCAAGGGTCCAAGCACCATTATCCACCAACATTTTCCCAGTTAATATTGAGACAAAATGTTGGTGCGTTGACAAAAATTAGAATTACACCAACAAAAAATGTTAGTGAGTTCATTCCATAATTAAAGTCCCTATGCACTAATCTAGCTAAATTGGCTTATGGGTGAGGTTTCGTAAAGAGTATTGGTAGAAACCTCATGACAATTCATGTTTTTTAAATATGTAAATTTTATTTTTATTCATATACTATGTTTTAAATAAAATTAAATTTAAAAAATGAAATTAATCTCGTTTTAGCTTCCATGTAAGTTATTTTGGAAGAAAGGGAGTAAGTTTTAAAAAATTTGGTTTTTACAAGCTTCGTACAAAAGAAGATCAATCGCGTTCAGTAAAGAGCATGACCTTGAAAGGGGCAAAAGAAGTGCATGAGAATAGCGAGAATGATGCATAGGTAAGTCCTTTACACTATGTTTGGCTCAAGAAATTTGAAAGAGAAAGGAAAAAAATTGAGAAGGATAACATTTTTCTTGTTTGGTTAGAGAATAAAAGAAAAGAAAAGTGGAAGGAATAGAAAAAGAGAAACCAAATGTACTGAGAGAATGGAAAATCAAATTCCTCCAGTTTTGGTGAGAAAAATAAGAAAAAATCATTTTCTTTTCTTTTCCTACCAAATTCTTTGAACCAAACATAATGTTAGTGGAGCACTTCATCACCTTATTTAGTAGGACATCTTTATAAAAAATGATGAGCCTCATCCCCGAGGGCCCCTTCAGACTTAGTCAGACGACCATTTAGAGAGGGTCAATTAGTCTTTGATTACAGATTAGTGTCAAAGAGTGAAGCCTACACCTGCTACCGACAGAGACTGTATACCTAGCATAGTTACATCGCAATATAGTTGCAACGAATCGAACTCGGATCTTATCCCCTTCGCAATCCCTGCCTTTGCCAATGGTGCAACGCCACCGCGTGGTACACCTTTGTCTTCTCTTTAGGATGACATTTTTTATTATAAGGCAAACACCATCATCGCGTAAGGTTCCATGCTCGACGATCGGAAATTCATTATAGATCATGTGTGTAGATGTGGGTTTATCCTTGTCCGCTTTACGAGGTTATGTCCTCATTTCTTCCCAGAGCAATATACTCATCTTTAGGATTTAGACATCATCCGCAAGTTAAGAGAATGCATCATACTCGTCTTTATTTGTGCCAATTCAATTATTTCTAACAAATTGGAATTTTTTTAATGTTAGCGTATCAAATGTATTTTGAAATTTTTGTATTGATTCTAAAAAAATTTATCGTGTGCCAATTCACCTCACAAAAAATAAACCATTTTAGGGAGTAATTACTTGCACCTTTTCAACTCTCGGCAAATAGGATTTCATACATGGAGTCATAAACGAGACATTAAATACATGACACGTTGCAATTGAAGTTCAACCATATATATCCCCAAAGATTAGTAAGCAAGCAGTCCCAATCATAATCCTTGATTTATAAGGGAGAGGCAATCAACGGTAGATAAGCCATCATGTTTTGGGCAGGAAAAGCATAGACCAGATATCTTATTTTATAACCAGGTTTCTTTTCCTTTTATACATAGTACTTGTGCGAGTTTAATTATACCAAAGAAATTAGAATAATTTTTAATGTTAGTGTATCAAATATTTTTTTGAAATTTTTGTATTTATTCTCAAATAGTTTATATGATGTGTGCCTATTCAACCCACAACAAATAAATCATTTAAGGAGTAGTTACTCAACTCGCACCTTTTCAACTTAACCAATAAGATTTCAAAGGCAACATTATATGATTAAATACATTGAGTCATAAAAGATAAATTAAATGCACGTCAAGATGCAATTAAAGTTCAATCATATTCCCAAAGATTAATAAGCTAGCAATCCCAATTACAATTCGTGTTTTATAAGGGATCAGAGAGGCAATCAGTGCTAGACACGCTAGACAAATAAATGCAGGGCACGGTGCAATTGAAGTTTAATCATATTCGCAAGGATTAATAAGCAGACAATCTGAGTCACAATCCTTGCTTTATAAGGGAGAGACAATCAACGCTAGACAGGCCACCATGCTTTGGGCAGGAAAAGAATAGACCAAATATATTTTTTTAGTAACCAGATTTCTTTTCCTTGTGTGTATGGTACTTGTGTGAGTTTAATTATACCCAATAAATTGGAACTTTTTTTTTAAATAATAGCGTATTAAATATTTTTTTGAAATTTCTGTATTGATTCTCAAACCATTTATATGTTGTGTGCCTATTCAACTCACAAGAAATAAATCATTTAGGGAGTAGTTACTCCCACATTTTCTAACTCCCAACAAATAAGATTTCAAAGGTTACATTATAGGACTAAATACACGGTGCAATTGAAGTTCATTATATTCCCAAGAATTAATAAGCCAGCAATCCTAATCGCGACCCTTGATTTATAAGGGAGAGGTAATAAACGTTGGACATGCCACCAAGCTTTGGACAAGAAAAGCACAAACTAATTCTTTTTTATAACTAAATTTTTTCCCTTTGTATACAGTATAGTTATTCATGTTGCATAAATGATTATTATAAATGTATTAAAATCAAAGAATCTAAATAATCAAAAGTAAGAATGTCTACTTTACTATGTTTGAAAAACAAGAAATAAAAAACTTCACATATTAAAAATAAAGACCGTTTAATAAAGACCGAATTAGACATTGATCGATCCTAACCAGACTACCAACTATCAAAAGGTCCATATTTTTAATTTTTTAAATGAGTATCGAACTAGTCCAGTCCAATTCCAAAAAGACTGAACCGATCACGCTTTAAATAGTATTAGGCCTTGTTTGTAAGCAGCGTTTTCAATTAGTGTTTGTATATTGGATAAATAATTTTTAATGATGTACATTAATTTTAAAAATGTTAATACTAAAAGCTACTATCAGATACTCTGTAGTTTTTTTAAAGCGCGAAACTCTAGCGCTAATGTGAGACGAGACATTGGTCTTTTTAAATGACTAATCAAGTCCGACAATAGCTGACAAATCGGTTAATCAGGTCGGATTCGGGTCCGATCACTTCGAGATTGGGTTATTTTGGGTTCAGGTCAATTTAGGTTCGGATTGAAAACTGTAAGTTCATGACCCAATGTCATCGGGTTCGAGTCAACCCAACGGGTTATGACTTTAGTTTTTTTAAATTTTTATATTCACATTAACACTTACATTTTCTATTTAATAAATTTAAAATATCAAAAAAGTATTAAATCTATTATATTATTTTATTTTAAATCCTGAAGTAATTTTTAGATACATAAATCAATATAAAGAATTTTAAAAAGTAAAATAATTATGCAATATCATTAAAATTTTGTCTGAAAATATAAATTCATGCACTAAAATTGAGTAGTGAAGTGTATGATTTTTAAAAATTCTTACTTTAGCGGGTCGGTCAGGTCGGGTTCAGCTTCGGTCGGGGTTGACCCATTTTTAGTGGGTCATTTCGGCTTCGGTCAACTTCGGGTTCGGTCATCAAAACCTTTGTTAAAAACCCAGTGTTTTCATTTCGGGTTCTGGATCAAAACCAGATCGGGTCATTTTTTGGCAGGTGTAAGTCCGACGGACATCTCCCTCTTTTTTTCATTTCTTGCACACCTATTATTTATCTTTGAATTTGAGGCCATCCTTAGGGCCTGTTTGGAAATAGCGTTAGAGATTAGCGTTAGCGTTTTGGATAAAATTTTAACAGTGTACATTACTTTGAAAACGCTAACGCTAAACGCTACCCGTATATAGCCTTTTCAAACGCTAATCATTAACGCTTTCATCATTTTCGGCCAGCAATGATGCTCAATGGAATTGCGTTTTTGAATTTAGTTACTCCGTTTAAAACAGGTTCCTGATAATTCGATGTTTGTGAGCAATTCTTGACTTCTTGCCGTCCTTGTTCATTTACTTTTGATTTCTTTGAGTGATTTTAGGTATTTTGACAGATTACACATTCAAAATCATTGTTTCGTAAATGAATATTTCACTTGGCTGTTTCGTAAATGAATATTTCACTTAGTTGTTTTTTTTACTTGGTATCCGTAAAAAAGTAAAAATAAAAGTTAAACAAAATAAAAATTAAAAGTTAAAATTTTAAACTAAAAAAATATAATTTTAAACCTTAAAATTTTGAAATATAAAAAATCAAAAAATCAAAATCAAAATTTAAAATAAAAAAATAAAATAAATATAAAAAATACTTATTTCTTCCGAAATTGGCTTAGTGATTAAAGATCTTACAATATTGACGTGTTTTCATTTAACCATCTTATTGCATTTCGTTAAAAAATTCTACACCTTTCGTTTCAAATTAAATTTTTTGTTTACTATTCAAATGTATTTTCGTTAGTGATTTGATAAAATAAATAATATAGTCATGTCACCACTAGTTTTGTTAATCTTTTGATGTAGTTTTTAAATATGTAATTTTTATTTTTTAATTCTACACCATTTTTATATAAAATGATTTAAAATAACTTCAATCAAATATCGTAAACCGAAACATGTGATTTAAATTGGGACAAAGGAAGTATATTATTAATTTTTTATTAATTATATGAACAATTAATGTAAGCATTGCATTTATTTTGTTAAAGATGGATACAAAGGAATGATAAGCATTGCATTTATTTTGTGTGTGAGTGTTAACGATTTTATTTCAATATGGATAAAAATGAATAACAAGCATTGCATCTATTTTGTTAAAAATAAAGTGTGTTTGTGTACAATATGCACGTATATATATATATATTAATTTAAAATTTTAAAACAACTAATTTTATCAAATATTTTTTTAACGATATATTAACCAATACATTTAGTCTGTTAAACTAGCTAAATTAAACATTCATTCAAAACAGTGAACACAAATAACAAACAACCAACAATTGGATAGTCAATATCAAACAAGGCCTTTGATTTTCCCTTTTAAATAATAAACGCGGAGTATATAAGATTATCTTTATTTCTTTCTTTCAAACAATTTGATATTTTTCTTACTTGTTAGGAGCACTGAATACTTTTCATTTTTTAATATCATGGAACCAAATCGCTTTGTATAAAAGTATTTTAATAATGGAGGATATTTTCATATACTCCTTCATCTCAAAGTAAGATTTCTTATTTTCATTTTGGGTGTCCCAAAAATGTCTCTTCTTTCTTTTTGTTGAAAGATTTTGAGTGTTTCACAAACTTTCTCTTTCATCGACATATCTTTTAATCACATGTTTTTATTTTCTGATGGTGTAAATTAACCACTCAGGGAAATTGTACTAGATCGGGTCTAAGATAATTTGCTAAGTTTAGAAAATGAAAGGTTCATGAAAACAGAGAATGATCGGTAAGACTATATGTGGAAACACATGTAATCCAATTGTTATTAAGTATGTAGGAGAGTACTAAAAAGTATTACACAATATGCTCTAGAGAGATAGAATTCGGATCTCTTCAATTGAGGGTTACAGAGGTATTTATGATGAAATGGATGGAACATAGCACTGCTCGTCCACATCAGCCCACGTTCTCAGACGGCGCGAGGTGACTTCCCATTGTCTCGTAGCGCTTTGTTCTATATCCTTGTCATCTTGTACTGATGATACCTCCTTTGGCGCGTAGTGCCCAACTGAGGATGTTGGAATATTCTCGTGATCTTTCATTGAAAATTGGTCACTACCATCTGATCGACTTTAGAGTTATTCGTTTCGACACTTTTACACCATAGGAACCTACCTGATAAGTTTACCTTTCTTTTGCGTTGGGCAGAAGACCACAAGCTTGAAGTCACGTACTTTGCCTGGTAGGTCTATATTTTGTACTGGTTAACTCTTTCGAATTTGTCCGGTAGTCTATTTTTTAGTTGAAATCTACCATTCTCATACGTTTGAATCTGACCGATCAGCTTCAGTGGACCCGAATTCGGACCGGGTCTTGGGTAGAATACACCCTTCACTTTCATTAAATGTTCTTGTACTAAGTGATAGAGAGAGCTAGGGCCAGCCCAACACTTGCCAAGGTACCCTACCACCCAAACCTATTTTCCAGGGGGCTAACAATTTATTTTTTATCTATGTTTTATTTTTTAAATCAAAATTTAAAAATGTAATATTTTAAAATGGTTATTATGGTATTTAATTATAATACTATAATGTTATTTTTATGGATTACTATAATATTAATTGTTGTTTTAAATACAATAGTTTATATAATTTAATATATTAAGGTCAAGATTCATTTTTTCGTATCGCCCAAGGCAATCAAATCTTCGAGAGTGGCCAAGAACGTTTTTTTAAGACGGATGGAATATTTCACAAAGAAAAACATAAAAGAACTAAAGTTAAACAATTAGTAAAGTCCCTTTCATGGCCTAAAAAAGTCTCATTCATGATAGGAAAGCGCAAAAAGATAAGTCCATATATATCTGCGTAAATGCTTATTTTCGAATAACAAAATATTCTTTTACATATTTATTTGTTTTCATATTATTATAAAATATTGAGTATATGTACACTCATTTTAAGATTATTCTGCACATAATACTCATTGCATTTAACTTATCATATTTATATAGATGGACTATACAGGTAACAAAAGAGAAAAAGGTTAAAATATAAGTAAAACATAAAAAAATATACTAAAATAAATTTCTTATTTTTAAATAGAAATTAAAATGCATAAATAATAAATTTCTTATTTCTAAAATAGAAATTAAAATGCATAAATAATACGTAGTACAAAGTATTAATCATGCTAATATATAAGTGGGTGTTTGTTTTTTCTGCAGGAAAAGGTCTGCAGTTTGCGGACCACTACTGTAGACATCTGCAGGAGAAGTGGTGGATCGAAGGTCTGCGGTCTGCAAGAAGAAAACTGTTTGTTTTTAATGTCTGTAGACTGTTATATAAATTAATGGCGATAGTATACGGTGGTGGTGTATGGATGATTGTGGTGGTGGTGGAGGGTGGTGGTGAAGGGTGGTGGTGGACGTTGACGGCGGCGGTGGTGGACGGTGGTGGTGGTGGCAGTGGTNCGACAGTGGCGGTGATGGTGGACGGTGACGATGCCAGAAATACTTTTTTGAGTGAAATGTCTTCCAAAAAACAAACAATCTGCAGAGCTCAGCATCTGCACGCGTCTGTGCAGCGCAGACAAAAGAGGCCAGAAGCTCTTCTAGCCAAAAAAACAAACACCCCTGATACTAAAAAGTAAAAACCATTGTGATTAAGAGGAATATTCTTAGAGCCGAAAGCCAAGAACATCCCGTGAATACCCCCGAAAAGACTGTTGTTGGAATGGGATCTCCAAACGGCGTTTCATGCGAAAATCTCCCACAATTCCTATCCTCTTTCGTCGACACCTTCGTCGATTTCTCCGTCAGCGGCGGCCTCTTCTTGCCGCCGCAACCGAACCCACCTCGAAGTCCCGACGCCAGCGTAACCCCCGACTCCAATGCACCACCACGGCTGCAGACCGTATTCCGAGCGCCGGCCCGTCTCATCGCCATCGGCGACCTCCACGGCGATCTTCCTAAGACCAAGGAGGCGCTCCGCCTCTCCCGGTTAATCGACGACCGCGATCGATGGTGCGGCGGATCCGCCACGGTTGTTCAGGTTGGAGATGTACTCGACCGCGGCGGCGACGAGCTGAAGATTCTGTATTTTCTCGAGAAATTGAAGAGGGAGGCCGCCCAGGCCGGTGGCAGCGTGATCACGATGAACGGTAATCACGAGATTATGAACGTGGCCGGAGATTTCCGATATGTGACCAAACGAGGTCTTAAGGAATTTGAGAATTGGGCTTTGTGGCATTCTGTGGGGAAGATTTTGAAGGAGAGGTGTGAAGGTGCAGGGGATAAAGAGTCCTTCAAGGACCCCTTTGATGGGGTACCCTTCGAATTCCCAGGGCTTAAGCCAGAGTATATTGCAGGAATTAGGGCACGCATTGCGGCGTTAAGGCCCCATGGACCTATTGCAACTAGGTTTTTATCACAAAACCAAACTGCTGTGGTCGTTGGGGATTCAATTTTCGCGCACGGTGGACTCTTGCCCATACATGTGGAGTATGGGTTGGAGAAGCTGAATGAGGAGATAAGAGAATGGATATCGGGGGCGAGGAAGACGGTTTGGAGGGAGTTGGTCAATGGGAGAGACTCGATCGTTTGGCTGAGGAAGTTCTCGAATCAGGTGGAGACCGATTGCGATTGTTCCACCCTTGAGCATGTGCTGGCTACCGTTCCGGGCGCAAAGAGGATGATCATGGGGCATACCATTCAACGGAGCGGGATCAATGGGGTTTGCAATAACCAGGCTATAAGGATTGATGTTGGCATGTCCAAAGGGTGTATCAATGGATTGCCAGAAGTCTTGGAGATAGACGGGGAGTCAAGAGTGATGATCTTGACATCAAATCCTTTGTATCAAAGTGGCAATGATAGTCGCATTGACGCCGGAGCTAAAGATAAATATGAACATGATGGCTTCAAGTTCCCTCCACAGAAAGGAGGAAGGCAAGTGGAGGTTAATGCTTGATTCTTTACTTGGTTGCCCGAATTTGAGTTTTGTCTCGCGGGAAGCTCGGTTTGTGATGATTCCTCTAGGCGGGGTTCTTCACTCACTTAGAGCTCGTTCTATTCGTCTCATTCATCTGATTAGTTCTGATCTGAATTTATTAAGGTAGGTCTGATCTGATCTGAATATTTTTTTGTCTGATTAAAGTTAATGTGGTTAATGTTGTACTCGTATAAGTTTCTCACTAAGAACAAGTTATAAGTAATAAGAGTAGAAAAAGAGACACTTTAGCCCTTCAACCATATGGAAACCTAACATATGTATGCCCTCCAATGGGAGTGGTTGAACCTTTTCACCCAATTTGTGTCTTTCTTTTGGCGTTCAGCCTTCAGATTGCAATTGTTTTTGCCTCCCTTAATGAAAGCAACTTTCTATTTCATCTACTTTAGTTACTTATTTTTGGAGTTGATGAATTTATACGAGGCGTTCATATTGAATTGTCATAAGGCCCCGTTTGGTACACGGAATTCAAACTATGGAATTGGAATTGAAGACTTCAGTTCCAATTCTCGTTTTTGGTACCACAAAAATTATGTGGATTTGGAATTGGTAGTGCAAAAAATGAATTGGAATTGGTGAAATCAATTCTATGGAATTGAATCCCATGGAATTTTAATTCCAATTCAATTCCAATTCCATCAATTCCGTGTACCAAACGGACCCTAAGCCTAAATGTTGGCCTACGTTTCATTTATGAATAATTTGTACTCATTAAATAGGATTAAAACATAAGTCATTTATCAATTTAGGACTTAAAATTTTTTATTCCCTAAATAAGGCTTAATAATGTCTATGTTCAGTGATAGTGAACATTTACTCGAATAATGACTAATGGATAATGATCAATGGTCCCTATATTGTGAAATAAAGATATATTGTCATATATTGATAAAATCATTATCTTCTAGTCATATTTAGGTAAGTTCCACTTCGTTTATTTATCTGGATGGAGATATTTAACATCAATATCTTGTTTATCCTTTACATGCTTGCTTTGACAAGAGCAACAAAAAGTCCCTATTATTATTCTCCCACTATTATCTTTATGCGTTTTACTTCTGCGCACACTAAATTCGGCATTGTATGAATGAGCATTATTAAACTTATATGCTAATTCATCTCTCTCAAATTTCATGTCAACTTTTGGAATGAGATCGAGACTCTTCCCTTGAATTCTCGAGAAAGTACGTACGGAGTATATGTTGAGATTCAAAATTATAAATAAGTTGAGTTTGCTCGTATGGAGGTTCACCAAATATATTGAGCTTGTTTGGGAATAGTGTTAGTGATTAGCGTTAGCGTTTTCAACGGTGCACATTATTTTGAAAACGCTATTGCTAAACGCTGCCGTAGATAGCTTTTTCAAAATGCTAATGCTATTCTCAAACAGATCCATTTTGAACACAACAAATAACAAATTGATATCCACTCAAACGCCGACAAGTCTCGATTGAAGATAAATTACTATATATCATAGTTTTAAAAATCAGATCGGACTGATCGGTTCGGACGTGAACTGACAAATGGTGGTTGAACTAGTCTGGTTCAGCCCTTTGGACCGTAATCAGCATCGACCCGGTCTAAATCAGTGTGAACCAGCCGGTTGAAACGGGCAGACCAATTTTTTTCGATTTTTTTATCAAAAAAAGTTTATTTACAGCCGACAAGTTTGGATTGAAGATTAATTACTATATACCGGAGTTTTAAAATCGGACTAGACTGGCCGGATTGGACCGTGAACCGATGAACCGGTGGTCGAACTGGTCTGGTTTAGCCCTTTGGACCGCAATCAGCATCGAACCGGTCCGAATGAGTGTGAACTGGCCTTTCGAACCGGTCGGACCAACTTTTTTTCTCTCAAAAGTATACGCTATGCGAGTTCGAACACCTAACCTTTTACATGGTTCGTTATGTTATTAACCATCCAAGCTAAAGTATTTTTTGTTACATGTTTTCTTAAAGTTTCTAAATATTTAATAATTAAAAAAATTAAAAGTGTATAAATATTTATTTTTATTTTTAAAAAAACTTTAAAAAATATAATGTTATAGCTATGATTCAAATTCAAAATCGTTGATATAATTTGTGCTATTACAAAATGTATATCACACAAATATTTCATTTGAGTGCTTTTTTAATAATAAGCAACTTATTTAAAAAAAAATAAAATCACCTCTTCTTTTATAAAATTTTTAATATTGCTTTTAAATATGTATATTTTATATTTTGACTTAGTAACATAACTCAATTGTAGTAATATAATTTTGTTCAGATATCATAATTTATTTACTCTAGGTATTTATAAATGAGGGTGTGTGTGTGTCTATGTGTATACACACACACACAATTTTTTTCATGTGTTTAAACCATTGGTTCGACTAGTGAACAAGTAGCTCGACTGTTTCAGTCACCGGTCCGGTTCTAAAAACTATGCTATATACTATCTTCGTATTAGTATTTTTCTTTTTTACTTGAGTAAATTCCATAAAAGGTTCTCAGTTATAAGTCGTTTTACATATTTAGTCCCTACATATCAAATATCAATAATTTAGTCCCCAACTATTATAGTGTCTTCCACAAAAGTTCCTTGTTAACATTTCCGTTAAGAACATGGATAAAATTGCATATTCACACTCTTCTCTCTTCAATTAAGCTTCCTTCCTCCTTTCGCACGCATTCCCAAACCCGTCGCTGAATTTGAAGCTCTAAATCCAAAACCGAAACGATCACTCCTCTCTCAATTGTTCGTCTTCTAAGAGGAACCCAAAATTGAAACCAATAACCTTCATGGATGAATTTTATGGGTTAGTCTCAAAAAATTGCAAAGAAAACAAAGTTTAAAACTCATTCATGAAAGTTACTGGTTTCGGTTTTGGATTCCACCAGGAAGACGAACAATTGATAGAAGAGAGATGATATCGGTTTTGAGTTCAAAGCTTCAAACTCAGCGACGAGTTTGGAAAAGGAGTGCGAGAGGAGAGAGGAAACTTAATTGAGGAAAGAGAGGAACACCCAAACACTGGAAAAAAAGAAGACAATAATAAATAATTTGGTTTAAGTTTTACTCTGTTTAAGTTATCCTTTTATTTGAGTTTTATTTTTTTAGATGATTATAAAATAGTAAAAACATTTGAAATAATTTTTTGTTATTATTTATTTTTTAGTTTGTGAAATATAATCTAAGTTTATTAATCATCTCCTGCATTTAATTATTCATTATTCATTTTTATGTTTTTTTATTTAAATGTACACTTGATTTTTCAAAAATAAAAAGATTTTGTTACTGCTTTCGTCCAAATTTAAATTATCTTTACAATGTTTGATTGAAACAATTTTCAAATCATTTTATATGATAAATGATATATAATTAAAATAATAAAAATTATGGAGTACATATCTAAAAACTAAATCAAAAGATCTATAAAGCTAGTGCTAGTGGTGACATGACTATATTATTTTATCAAAAGACTAACAAAATTAAGAAAAAAAAGTGAATGAAGTTTGATCTTGTGAATAGCAAACAAACAATTTATTTTTGGATTGGAGATAGTACATTTTAAAGTGTAAACTAGGTACACATGGATTCATCCTAATTTGTACTAAAACCAATACCAAACCATCTCGAACCAATATTTTGAGATTCAGATTGGTACACCGTAAAATTCCACACTAAACTAAAATATTTGATACGATATCGATACAACCTAAACACCACACCATATTGTAAACTAATAAAGTACTCCCTCCGTCCCAAATTATTTGTCACATTTGCTTTTTCAACAGTCGCGGGAACTTTTGTTTATTTCTACATTTTTATTGCTTATTTGATAAAATAAAATATTCTTGACAACTCTTATTTCGAAGAACTTTTCATGTAGTTTTTTGATATGTAATTTTTATTTTTTATTTTTTTACCAATATGTAAATAAAATGAATTGAAAAAACTTGATATTTTGTCTCGATAATAGAAATGTGACAAATAATTTGGGATGAAGGGAGTAATTTTCGTTTATCACCTAAAATCCGGTCCTACAATCCGTTTGACCCACGGGAAGGACGCCCCCAGGTGCCAGGCTATACATAATCTATCATAAAACAAATTTTATGCCAATAATAAATTCCACGACTGACTAATTTTCTTTCTTCTACAAATCAAACGACCCATTCAATGCTTCATTCTCTCCTCTCCCTCCCTCCCCTTCTTTTGACCTCTCTCCCCTTTCCCCTCTGACGCCTACTACACATTCACTCCCCGACTATTATTAATACCACTTCAATCCAAGTATCATGTACGCCTGTAACCGAATCAGGAATGTTCTTCTTCTTCTTCTCATTCTCCCGTTGACGCTGATTCGAATCCCGACGGCTCGGATCTTGTTCGCTCCCCTCTGCGGCGGCGGCGGCAGGCGACGGCGGAGATGTTGGTGACGGATGCGGCGGCTCTGTTGGAATGCCTGCTCCCGTCCTGGTGGGAGGTGCAGGTCACCTTCGTCGCCGCGGCCTTCTTCGTGTTCGCGTACTGGTTTTTCACCCTCCCCGGCTTTGACGACCTCCGCTCCTCCCGCGGCTTAGCGTCCGTTGGCGAAGATCGTGACAAGGTCTGGTTCAATTTTTTGTTTGATTCTCCGTTTTACCTTTTGTTTTTTAAAAAATAATTGTTGTTTTTTTATACGGCTGTTCGGTTACCTTTCCATGCCTTTATGGGTTGGGTGAGTAGCTTTTGTTTGTATGGCATTTTGATCCGCCAAAAAGCTGTTGTGTTTCCATTTCCTGATAAGTGGATATACCTCTGTGGCATGCCAACGCCTTGAAGCTACTAGTAAGTAGTGATTCTGCTTTTTCATTTATTGCCGAGGACTATGATCCCTTAGTGTGTCTTGTAGCTAAGACTTTACTTTCTTTGGGTTAAGTGTGTCTTGTAGCTTACTAGCGATATATATGGACATAGCAATTAAACTCTTGAAGGGAAAGGGATGAATAACCGTGTTGTAATAACATGCTTTGGAAGGTAGTTATTGACTTGAGAGATACAAATAGTTTACTTGTGTACACATATATCATGCTATGGGTTTAACAATATATCATGCAATGGGTTTAATAAATCATCATGTAGGATGGGTAAGTTCGAAAAGTGCTCCTCTCAAAGCTATAAAACAATGACATCAATTTATACAATTTTCACCTTAAAGGAGTGGATTCTGTAATTTTCTTCCTGGGAAAGTGACCTTTTAGATTATCTCGATATTCGAGTCGAGAAAATAAAGAATACTTTCAACTCTGTTAATTGTTATTGCATACTGAAACGTAGATGGCAAATATGCATTACCAAAGTATTTAAGAAACAATGATGAATATCAGTTTTGCAATTTATGTCATACTCTGTATCAAATAAGTTTATATCTCTAAAAGCTAGACCAATAAAAACACATAATGCAAAGCATATATTGACTTCAGAGATGTAAATGGTTGGGTTTTTAAACTTCCATGATGTTTTGGTTCCAATTTTTGTTTTTATCATTCTAAATTTAAGAAAGCATGTCATTGTGGATGAGTAGGTTAAAAGCTTCCCATATCGATCTTGGGAAGAATAGAAATAATGACCATGACCGTATGTGATTTGTGATTTCTTTAACAATAAATACTTTTCCCTTTGATACTTAGACATGATAAAAGTACCGTATTGTCTAAGAACTTAAGACACAAAGTTATAAAATGGAAAAATTCACGCCAATACTCATAAATTTGGCCGACTATACAATATTACGTGAAAAATTCGGACTTTAATACGTGAAAAATTCGGACTTTAATATGTTATTTGGACTTTTTTGAATACCTTAATAAAGGTTAATAACTTTTTTCGAAACCAAAAATTTCACTAGGTCCAATTAGGTTTCCTTTATTAAGTTATTCAAAAATTCGAAATGATGTCCAATTTAATTCCATTGCTTTAGATGTGTTGCCAACTCAATATTTTTTATGTCATGTCAGCCAAAATAATTCCATGCAATTATGTCCGAAGCTGACTGAGCCGGGCTGGAGTAGCGATATAAAATTAGATCATTTCCGAGAGTATTGGGGTGCAAAAAAGAACCTGGGAGTAATATTGTATAATTGACCAAATATGTGAGTATTGGTGTCCATTTTTCCTTAAAAAATTCATTCTTGATTTAGGATAGAGTATGCTACCAAATTGATAATAACTCTTAACCTGCTTTCTACTATGTGAAATGCATTTTAATTGCCTGCCAGTAATATGCAGATAGCTAAACCTTGTGGTTATATTTTGGTTTGGAGGAACGATGTAATAGTTTTGGGAGAAAGGAATATTGTTTTTCAGAATATGTCAATTGTTAGTCCTAGGTTTTTTATTTTTATTTTTTTGGTGACCCTTCTGATTGGTTCTAAGGCTTGGTGGTGGTTGTTATTGTTATTTCAAGTTATTTTTATTAGTTTATATCAATATACTACGTATTTGTTTAATTCTTCTAGAGATTAAACTAATCATGATGGTTTGCATGGAGAAATGCATTTATTATTTTGTCGTTTGTGTTGAGATGTGATTTTCTCACGTGCTTTCAAGGTAATGCACCTTAAGTAAGATATTCCCATCATGCATGTGTGAGATAAGTATTATTGCTATTTCCTTATAAAATTCATAATGTTATAATATATCAATTAGCTAGTTTACCTTAGTTGCTTTATTTAATTTCCTTGTTAGTAGTTTGGGGATAGCTAAGCTATTTATTAGTTTAACTTAGTTGTTTATTTGTTTCTCAATAAGTCCCTTTCTAGTCAAGTAGTTTAGGTTGGGAAGTCTTGTAAGCCTCTTCTATATAAGGATCTTTTTAGTTGAGAAGTTTATTCTGCAAAGGATTTTCTTGGAGCAAGTGCATCTAAAGTAGTGTAAACAAATCTCATACTTTTGTTTATCTTCTAATTAAATTCTCTTACATTTATCTTTTTATTAAATTCCATGACATGAAATCTTGATTCATCTCCTTAACAAAATCTGTAATGAGTCTTGTGCATGATGCAATACAAGTAATAATGCAACTCATGATTGAACGAGGTCGCCACTTCCATCAACCCCACTGTCTCCACCAACATAACCATTGCTAACAACTCTGCTCCTCCTGCACATCTTTGGCCTCCACCACCCACTCCACTGCTTTGTTGCCCCTACACATCCATTACATGCACCTCAGTTGCCTCTGTGAGCTCCACCAACTCTACTCTCTCTACTTCCAACACACACATTTTTTGGTTTGGACACTACAACCACAACCTCCACACTCCACGGCTCTCAACACTCACGTGACAGCCGTATTTGAAGTCAGATCACGTAACACAAAACGAGAAGCTCTTCCAGACTTCCACATTTTACATCTACTTTCCATTACATACTTTGATTCCCTCAATGACATTCAGTTTTTCTCTTTGCATATTTTCAAACTGTTGAAAAAGTTAGCCATGTTAAAACAACGTGGTGCACTCCCTGCAGCTTGTGCGAATAGATTTTAATGAGGTGTAAGTCATGGAAGGGGAGAAAAGGTAGGGTATTGCTCATGTTTAGAAGACCGAAGAGATGGAAGCAAAATATAAGGAGGTTAAGAGTGTAGGGGGTGTCAGTATTCCCCTTCCCCACATCTCATTTCTATTAATTAGCTCCAATTTGGGGTGTAGGCGGGTGCAACTATATCTTTTAACAGTACCTTTATGTCTTCAGCTGCCCTCTATCTATTCCCTACCTTTGGTGTTCACTGTCTACTCCATTGTTTCCCTTTAAGATAGTTAGTTACACTGCCCCTTCCCATTTTAACCTTTCCCAAACTAGGATAAGGTAGTAACTTCAAAATTTCATCCTTCCCCTCCCTTTCCGTTACCTACATTGTCTTAAACTTCTATTAAATACAATCCCTTACATCACATCGAAACTTCTATACGATTGCTATGGATTACAAAGATAGACGCTTGTACTTACATTTTTCATTTTCAAGCTTGAAGGGAAGTTTGGTTTCCATAGGGTTGTAATGATGTGTGCATGGCATTAGTATCACTATTTCCTTAATGAATCTAGGATGTAGTTATGTCCCATTATTTTGTCCCTTAATGAATTTGGACCCCGAAATGTTTGTCCATTACCATACTCGATATGGTTTAAATGAATCATACAAGTTCAATGTGAACCTCACATTTCCACATTAATTTGTGCAACACTCTCTCATGTCTAGAACTTAGTGGGACTGAGGGGGTATTAATTAAGATATTCTTAAGTTTACCTTAGTTATTGGTTACTTATTACTTACTTTGTAGTAGGAATTAGTTAAATACCCCCTTTGTCCCGGAATGGATGCCATATTTTGACATTATTAAAATAATTGTTGGGGAAGATGACCTTGGCTTTCTCTCCTCTGATTTTTCCAAGCTTCTCTGTCGTATGCTCTTGCTCCTTCCTCCGCCGTGTTGAATGTTCCCAACCGAGCCCTAATGCGTTTTCTAGGATCTCGAATCTCCACCGCCCATTCGCCGTACGGCTGCTGCCTTATCCCTCTGTATGGGTTCTTCCTCTGCCTCTTATTGGGCCTTTCTGGATGCTCACAACCACTTGCTCGTCAAAATTCCCCCCTATAGGTATCAAATCGAGATGTAGTATGCAGTTAGTGTGGTGGCTGGAAAAGAACAGTGAGAGGCGGAGGAGATAGGATGAACAGAAGATAGGAGAGTATAAGGTTCAGAGGGGATAATGAATGGTTGTACACTTGTACATAAATGTGTGGATAATAAGGTATAAGCTTGAAAAAGTTGGAAAAATAAACAAGGGTAGAGTGGACATTCAATAAGGTTTGGATTACCAAAAATGGAACAATGACATACGTTTTGGGACATCCCGAAAAGGAAAGTATGACATCCATTTTGGGACGGGGGCAGTATTTAGTAGTTTACCTTAGTTATTTGTTCTTTAGTTTCCCAGTTGATAGGTTGGGTAGTCTTGTATGCTTCCTCGGTTGCTCTATACATGGAGCTTTTTGGCTGATAATAAAGATATCAAGAATATTTCTTTCCAAAGAAATTTTGGCCTTTCAAGGATTTCAAGCCAAATTGAAAGGGAGTTGATAGTCTCAAAAGTTAAACTCTAGGGTATCTTTTAATTTAATTCCACTGTTGGCCTGACTTTCATATTCCAGTTGGTATAAGTGTAATCAGGGAATCAAATGACTGTTGGATTACAGATCACAATGCTTCTTTCAATACTTTTGACAAATTGATTTTTCACTTGTTTGACGTGCAGTCCTGTACTTATTTTGTAGTTTGGCCAGTTAAGAGATGATTACCAAAGTACTTCAGCATACATTATTAAGGTACCTTTTCAGCTATTGCTAATATGTTATGCCCCTCATCATTTAAATCATGAATGCTTCTTTCACTCATGAATTTGTGTTTCACTCATGAATGCTTCTTTCACTCATGAATTTGTCTGCAGTTTGTTACCCGAGTAATATTTTACTTTCTTTTCCATGCATTAAGGTCGAACTGCTAGCAGCTAAGAATCTTGTTGCTGCTAATCTGAATGGCACATCAGATCCATATGCAATCATTGCTTGTGGCACTCAAAAGCGTTTCAGGTATAATTTAAAATATTTAAAGATGAATAATCTAGACTATTTCTGCTGGCCTGCATGTGCAGAGTGCAGACGCCTTCTTAATCAAACCTCTTTCTACCTATTCAATGATTACCTTTCTAGCAAGCGAACCATTTACCCTATGATGCTCAGAGAGTACGGAAGGAGTAATTAGCTTGTATTTGGCAGCGTCAGATACAAGCTTATCGTAGGTAGCCTTGTCGAAAAGCACCATGTTGTTGACCTTTTCCTTTTGCTTTCCCTTGCTCCATTTCTGCTTCTTCTTCTTCTTCTTCTGTTTGCCGCCGCTGCCGCCGGACTTGGCAGGCTTTGACAACGGAGGTGGGATCTTCTCCTACTTCGGTGCCATGGCTGTCTAGTACATACATACATACATACATACATACATACATACATACATACATACATACATACATACATACATACACACACACACACACATATATATATATATATGAATTTTTGGATTGTGCAATAATGCTAGATTTTTGTCAAATGTTTATATCTTTATGCAGAATTGAATATCTTGAGAAATATGGTTGCCTAAGGAGGATGGCCGGATGGCCATACAGTATAATTAGGGTATCACCTAAAAAAATACTTACTAGCTCTAGGCATTTAGTGGTTGAGTTGACTCTAATATTCTTGCTGCTACACATGCAAGGTTTCAAATCCTTTTGCCCGATATAATGTTCCATGTTTTTTATGTTTTAACCACCTTGCCTTCACAACAATACACATACGAGAACAACTTAATCTCATTTTGTCGACACTGTATTTCACGGGAAAAAATTGGCATCTTAGAAATAATTTTACTATGTTAGTTGGTCATTAATCAGCATTCTAATTTTAATTTCCCATGCTAATATATACTAAAAGGTGAGATAATTTGTTAAGAAAATGAGAAATTTTATGAAAGCAATTGCCTTCTCCAATAAATTCAAAATGTGCATGATACACATTTCCTTGTATTAACGTTAGGATTAATGCTATAGAGTTTATAGAGACATGATTAGTTATATCATGGTATACATTATCAGTATATAATAATTTTTATACCCTCATACAATAAGGTTATGCTCCCTCCCCCCCAAAATGGATTGCACATTTACTATTCATAACTTTTGTTTATTTACATGTTTTCATTGATTAATTGATAAAATAAAATAAAATATTCTTGTCACCTCTTATTTTGTAGAACATTTGTAGTTCTTAAATATGTAAGTTGTATTTTTTTCTATACCAATTTGTAAATAAAATAAATTTAAGTCACAGGGTTTTGCACGTTGTTCCTAATGTGCAATCTATTTAGGGACAAAAAAGTATATGTATTTATTTTTTTAATTTTTTTCTTTGTTCGGAGGGAGTAAATATTCATATAAGGAAACATTAATAAATTCTTAGGTATAATGTACACTTGTATGTTACCCATGATGGTTCAATTTAGCATTTAAAGATATAAAATGTACTTAAAACCTCAGTCTTTAGAAATATGCTCACGTATTGTGCATGCCCTGATCTCTATTGCCAAGGTTCGTCAATACAATAACAACAACAGTCTTCTTAATAAGCACCCCTTTTCCCACTAGTGGGGTCTAGGATGGTTGTACACATTGTTGTACGTAGGTAGAGAGGCTGTTTTGTAAAGACCCCAGACTCAAGAGCCTGGGTCCGACAATGATTGTCTTACTTCAAAATCTCCACTAGGTGATATTTTTCAGTTTGCTGACTTGTTAATAACAGGTAGTAAAGATGTGTATCAGAGTAGTACTCTTTAACTGAACATATTTGCTTATAGTTCTGTCTTGTTGAGTGTTTCTTTCTATGAAGTGGTCTCTGGTAACTTCTCTCATATACAATTGATGTTCATTAGTTATTACTTATTACTCCCTCAGTTTGGAATAACTCTTCTCATTTGACTTCTCATAGTTTGCAATGCAACACTTTGATCATTAATATCTCTATTTATATAGATATATATTATAAAAATATGATATCTCAAATCTATCTTTTAAAATGGATCTATTAATTTAAAATTTATATCAAAATTCAATGTATTTTTTTCGTAATTTGTGGTCAAAGTTTAAAAGCGTTTACCAAGAAAGTCAAAATGAGAAGAAAGATACTGGACAGAGGGGAGTACTTAAATACTGTGGGGCACATATTATTTTCATTTTTCCTCAATTACTGTATTATATTTGGTTGTGAATTTGTGTATGCCCAGTTGATAGTCTTGTAATTGCTGCAGTTCAATGGTTCCTGGTTCAAGAAATCCTATGTGGGGAGAGGAGTTCAATTTTTCTGTTGATGAACTTCCTGTCGAGGTATTTTTTCTGCTGATGATGTTCATCTAATACTTTGTAATTTTTTGTCAATGCCATGGACATGTTTCTCTGTGCATGCATTTTGTTTTATGAATTTGAACTATATAAGTGTTGGGTTTCTCCTTGTTCTTCTCGTGCTTGTCTCTTGATATACACATGTGAGTGAACTGGTGATATGCCTAGACTATTGATGCACTCTAGGATACCTATAGGACATATAGGTATATACTCCGTAGTAAATACAGGCATGCATTGTGTTTGTGGTATCAAAGTAGAAAATATAATGAACATGCTCTGTTTTCCTTTAGCATGGCATCAAGAGCTAACTGTAAGGCTCGTTTGGAGACTTGCTAAACGTTTTTCTCCAAAATGATTTCTAGAGAGTGTGTTACATTCTTGAAAGCAGTCTCATTTAGTAATATGTTTGCATGGGTATCGGTGAAGTGTCCTTTTTTGATAAACCAACAAAGAATCTGTTATTTTTTCCCTATAAAATGAAAGCTCTATCGTTTTATTTTTGGGCCGGGTAAAGTAGCACACAAACCATGTAAAGATGAATCATATGGTTGATATTAAATTAGTAAAGTATGGATTAAATTGAGCCACATAAATATTATAAAATACTATGTATGGTATTGGACATACATTTTGGGATGATTCAAAATGGAAAACGGAACATAGTGGGGCAAGGTGAGTGATTATTTAATAAAACCAAAGGTTATAACACGAGGCCATTATACTCCCTTCGTCACAAAGTATTTGTCCTTACTTTTTCAGTCAATCCGGGTGAACTTTGATCATTAACTAAATAACAATTGCATCGCATATTAGTACATAAATTGTTTCAGTCTATGGTAAATTGCTTGTATTCCAATCATCAACATCTGTTCTAACAAGCTGATACCGATATGCAATGTACGGTCTACAAGTACTTGAAAAATTAGTACATGTACTTCGTCATCCTTGAAAAAAGTACTTGTAGACCGTAGTGCTAGCCCAATGGTGAATTGCTTGTATTCCAATTATCAACATTTGTGCTAACAAGTTGATACCGATGCGTGGAAACAAGACAAGTCTTTATATTATTAACTTATTTTTCTTAGTATGATAATAATAATAATAATAATAATTTAATAATAATAATAATAATAATAATAATAATAATAATAATAATTTTTAGTTGTAGTAGTGGTAATAGTAGTAATACCTTTAAGTAATATTGGTTTACCTAAGAGTTTTAGTTTACCTTTAAGTAGTATTGGTGTTACTCTCCTATTATTTTTAGTGATAGACTCTTATTAGTCTTTGTTTCCGCAAGTACTTTTGCTAGTTGTTTCCAAATAAGATTCTTTATGAGTGGTAAGGTTTTATTTTAACATTGTATATGGGATACATTAAGAGAGACGGAGGAACTAGGGAAAGATTTAGACTGTAATGTGCAACAAATTTTCACTATGTTTTTATTGAATTTAATGCAGATCAATGTTACGATATATGATTGGGATATAATATGGAAAAGTGCAGTTCTTGGCTCAGCAACCATTCTAGTTGAAAAGGAAGGTCCTACTGGAGCCATATGGCATTCATTGGACAGCCCATCGGGGCAGGTAGCTGTTTTTATTTTTATTCATAGGATTCAAATAACATCTGTTGTCTTTAAAGGAGATTTGGCAATTCAATGTGTTGTACTTGACTCATGGTTTACTTTCCAGGTATGTCTTCATATTGAAACAATAAGATCAAAAACAAATTCTTTTAGGTAAGTCTATTTCTTTTCAGATGCCAAGAATAACTTGTTTTTTTATCATTTAGATTTCTGTACCTATAAGCTGTTTTTTAGATTGCGTATGTCAGCTGCATTACTTGTGTTAGTGTATGTTGTTACTTCTTTAGAAGTGTCACGTTTTGGTTATTCTTCATAGTGGTTATGTCTTCTATTATGTCCCTGGTCATGAAAGACTATTTTTAGACGGCCTTAATTTGTGTTTAAGGGAATTAAGAAGGCAACATTGTAGGTAAACACTTGGACTTAATTTAGGACTTGGGAGAGTGTGTGAAGCATTTTGAATTTGGCCCGTTTGGATGGTGATTATAAATGGTTGCTATAAATAATGAATTTTGACTTTTGAGTATGATTTTGAGTTGGTGATTTAGAGTTATAAAGATTTGAAAAACTTCTTTAGATGTTGAGGTTTTGTTTATGTAAAGAACCCATTTCCATCATCATCTCCATCATGCACGTCCCACCATTCGCGTCACCTCTAGCACCCACCATCCATTTGTGTTAGGGTTCTTGCAACCCATTTCCGTCAATGATGGTTGATAGAAGAGGAGGCTATGGTTGTGAGACGAGGAGAGCAGACACTGGGTGTAGTGTTGTATGACGACGGGAGAAGAACACTGGTTGTGGCTTGTAGCGGGTTAGCATGTTTTAGCGGTGAAGGGTTGTAGCGACAATGGTGAGCTGCATCTTGCGATGAGCTAGTTTTCGTACACCATAATAGCTGTGAAAGTCCTTTGCACCCTAAAAGGAGGTGAAATCGGGTGTTAGGAAAACATTTGTGCCGAATGTGGAAGAATAAAACGTTCAATGCTTAAAAGTAGAAGCAGTAAAGTGAACCATCAATTTTATACTAGATTGGAAGTTTCTACTCTTGTACTTTAAGGCTCTTCCTTAGGGATCTCCATGGAGAATATCCAAGCCAAACTTTGGTAAACAACCATTGCCAATATGCGGAGGGTTATACAATAGCTATCCCATCCGTTAATACAAGTATTTTACAGCTATCAACAGTTCATTAATTCTAGGATTTCAAAGGTTATACTTAACCTTTACAAGAGGTGTAAGACCATGTTCTCTTCACCTGATCTGATTGGAATAATTTCCGATATGATTGGAATGTAGTTATGTTTAAAATTGTTTCTGGTATGATCAGATCTGATTAGATTTGATCTGATTCCAATAAGAAAAGTAATAAGTAATAAGAATAAGTTGAAGAGAACATGGCCTAAGTATCAAAGTGTTCCTTTTTACGCCAATAGATGAATATCTGATGACATTTGGGAACTTGGGTTGAATAATGGAACAATAGTACACTCAAACAAGTGTAAGTACAATGACTTTATGAATTTAGGAGTGTATATGAAGTATAGAACATGCCCTTGTGTGCGTATAAAGATCAAGAACAATTGTTTAGAAAAGAACGCAAAAAAAAGAGAGAGACTAAGAGCACTTTGAAAAGAGAGCACACTTTGAAAACCATTTAAAAAAGAGCTTTTGACATCCATTTGGAAAAGTTTTGAAGTTTAGAAAACTAACGACTACCAAAAAGATACGATTGGATTCTAATGGGATTCTATCCTTTAGCCACACCTTTCCCTACTTCCGAGTAGGGGCAAGGTCTGCGTACACACACCCTCCCCAGACCCTACTGTAGTGGGATTCAACTGAGTTGTTGTTGTTTGTTGTTGTTTTCCCGACCCAAAATGATCAATTTCATCAAATTTAACATACATATATTCTTCAACCTTTTGTATATTTTTATTAAATATATAATAAGCTCTAATTTTAATGGTATTGGAGTACCTTTATTTGACTTAAGATCAAATTTGCTTGACCGGGTCCTTGGTGTTCAAGATATAACATTTACAACCAAACACCTTGAAGTAAGAGATGTTGGGAGTTCTTCCTTTCAATAGTATGTGTGGTGTCTTCTTTATGATCAGCCTAAGAAGCACCCGATATAGTACATAGCAAGCCGTGTTCACCACCTCTCCCCGAAAGTATTTTGGGAGTTTATTGTCATTTAACATTGTCCTCAACATCTATTGATGAGTTTGGTTATTTCTTTCCACTACATTTTGTTGAGGAGTTCTGGGAGCAAGGAAGTTCTAGGAAATACAATATTCATTTTTGGATTTTTTCATAACGTAACAAACACATTAAACACATCATCTCTATTGGCAATAAATAAAGTACAAGTAAAACGGGAATAATTTTCAACAACCCTAAATGTAAAATTAGCACTACCAAGGCTAGTTACATCAATATGTCCAAATAAATTCATATGAAGTTGTTCAAGTGCCCTAGATGTAATAACCATGTTGATGGGTTTGAAAGAATTCTTGTGTGTTTTACCAAGAGTACATGCACCACAAAAGCGACAAGTAGAAAAATTCACTTTTGGTAAACCCATAACCATTTTTTTCGAAGCAAGTTTATTAAGAGCCTGTTTGGGAATAGCGTTAGAGATTAGCGTTAGCGTTTTGGATAAAATTTTAACGGTGCAGATTACTTTGGAAATGCTAACGCTAAACGCTGACCGTAGATAGCCTTTTCAAAACGCTAACGCTAATCGCTAACGCTATTCCCAAACGGGCCCTAAGTAAATCGAAACTAGCATGTCCTGAACACCTATGCCACAGAACAATATCATCAATTGAAGTAGAGCGACAAGTAACATGCAAATCACATTGATGGATCTCAAGATATAATCAAGTAAATAAGCAGAATCTCACAATATACTGTGTATTAATTGATTTTCAGATCCCTCCCCCTTAACAGGGGGCCAATTTATACATGTTATGGGGAGCCACGAGCCATATTAGGTATTGTAGATCCATAATATCGGATCTACGATCCTATTCTTGCGCTCCACTCTATTTGTTTCCTATTACAACTCAATCTTTCTTAAGTCCAGATCTTTCCTTTTGGCCTAAGCCCTCTAGCGACCGGCCCACTTGATCGTGCCTGGTGCAGTCCTGCTTATCTTTCGTGGGTTCTGGGTAAGGGCCAATCAGGCTCACTAATCTAATTAGGCTCGTGGGCCCGATATCCATCACACATGTTTAACTGTTGGATGTTGTATGTTGAAACAGAACCTCCTGTGGATTTAATTTAACATGTTAAATATGAGTGTTTCTAAAGTAACAACTGGTTGATGATTTCCCTTGTGATTCTATAGAGGCTTGAGTGGTTTTGGTGATGCTCGTACTCAAAAGAGACTTAGTTTGGAAAATCAGGGACCAACTGTAGTTCACCAGAAGCCAGGACCATTACAAACAATATTTGAACTCCCCGCTTATGAGGTAGGTTCTTGATCATGGATATATTTATCATCTTTTTATGTTGTGGATATGTGTATAGAGTTTTCAATGAAGTATCACTTGGAATTGTCTATGTTCTCTACCATGCTCAATCTTACAATCTGACATGCTGGATATTCCAGGTTGTTAAACATAGTTATTCCTGTGCACTTGAGAGGTCTTTTTTGTATCACGGGCGTATGTATGTCTCCTCATGGCACATCTGCTTCCACTCTAATGTATTCTCAAAGCAAATGAAGGTTAACACCCTTATTGTTTGAAGATTTTTTTTACTTTTGGGAAGAATGTTAGCACTAATAGCATTGTTTGATTCTAGGAAAGGAAAGTTGGTGAAAATAGTGTAGAATTTTCTGTTGTAGAAATTAATTTCCTCTAAAAAGTTCTATTTATAGTATCATATTTATTTCAAAACTCTAGGAAATCAGAGTAATAGGGTCATGTCCTCAGCGAGCTTTGCCTCACCGCAGCTCTTCTCGGGTATACTCCTAATCTCCCTGAACCTCCCAACTCTAGCCCCTGGAAACTCCTCACATGGCATCCATGCATATCTTCCTTGCATGGGCCTGAACAGCTTTAACCTTCACTGAAGCAATTTTGTATCTAGCTTGCAATTTAACCCTGTATGCCAATTTAATCTTCTGATGTAGGATTCTCAACACATTTTCAAGTGACCAGCTAGGCCATTTTGTATCTAGCTAGCAATTTAACCCTATTTCTTAAATGTGAAAACGTGATTCCATCTAGTGGTGCCACCCTAAAACAAGGATCATTATTGGAGAAACACGATTGGTCTCCCTATGCTGAATCACATGTTGGCTGATGCCATGATGTAGTTCGTAATTTGGTCGAGGTCACTCACCAAGACCTTAGTGCATATCGTCAAACTACACTAAAATATTGAATCCAATATTCCAATCAATTAGCCAAGCAGACACAAAACTTTATAAACCCATTGATCCCATATTAATCTTTCAACGAAGGATTTTTAACAGAAGTGATCTAATTTGTGTTTGCACATTATTGCTTTCAGGTAATCATTCCATTTGGTGAAATAGATGAGGTATGTAAATCATTTCTTTTTTATGATGGTCTTATTCATTTATTTATTTATTTATATTTTTATTACCTCCTCCCTCCTAAAACTATTTTCCACTTTGACTAGAGGTCAATTTTAAGGGAGTGTAATGATGACTTTCCAAATTTGCCCTGTTATAGTTTCTGATACCAAATCTAAAACTTTCACTTGCGAAAAAAATTGGGGGAAAAGGGATAAGCATTGAGCTAAAAATCAATCTCTTTGTGAGATAAAAATTCCTTACTACCTCCTCACCACACAAATAGCTGTTAAGTGGCTATTTTTAGAAATGGGAAGAAAGTTTTAAGATGGCCCAAAAAGGAAAACAGGATGAATAATTTAGGACGCAAGGAGTATTATGGTTTTTTCATTACTGTTACTAGTATTCCTGTTAATGGTTTTTACATCGTTGTGTCAATTTATAAACTTTATTTTACATTCCAGATTAGGAGGAGCCAACATGCATTCATTAATCCTGCTATCACAATAGTTCTCCGTGTTGGAGCAGGGGGCCATGGTGTGCCACCTTTAGGAAACCCAGATGGTTAGTAGTTTGATACAAGAAATAATTGCTTGACTTTATTTCATTTTCCCATTGACATGTCGTAAAAGAAGGATAGAAGTTGAATGCCGTTATATTTCTTTTGTTTTCAATTTTTTTCTACATCAGCTAAAAAGGAGCATTGCTCTCTTTTAAATGATACCCTTAGAAAAAATACAGATAGCCTCAACCCTTGGGCAGTTGGTTTTTTTTCCTTAAAATGGTAGTTGGGTTCCCTTTTCTACTAACCGAACTGGCATATTTCTTGATTTTTACTTCATTTTAATTGCTCACCCCAATTTTCTGGATTTTTATTAAGATTCTGTGTTATTCTTCTTGTTAGTCTTTTTTGTGCTACCCTTTTGAAGGTTTTCTAATTAGTGTTCTGATTTCTATGCTTTGGCATGCTGCATCTTATTTATGCTCATTTACTTAGATATTCCTGCTAGCCCATAAATAGAAGTTAAAAAATATGGCTTGTGGAAAGAGTGTTTTTACAATCACTTCAGCTTAGTGTATTTTTTAAAATTTTAATTTTTATGACTTGGAAACATTCACTTTGTATTACCTCTTTCAAAGGGTGTTAGCATTAAGGACATTAGCTATAGAAAATTACTCTCAGTACCGACTACCGAGTTTGAACATACATTTTTTGAGCCTCTACTTAGAAAACTCACACAAACAACGTCATATATTTGGAGATACTATTTTCACGACCCTCCAATAGTCCAATGGGGGATGACGTTAGGAATCCGGTATTTTGACTAGGCAAAGTTCAATAATTCCATAAATGCTCTTCCTATCCTCTGGTTTGTGTTTGTCAAAACGGTGCTTCTCTGCACAGCAATTCCAGTGAAGAATCAAGATCAGCATCTATGAAGATTGCTGGCACATACCAAGATAACCTGCAAAGCTCCTGGGAGACTCCTCCTTCTGTGACAACCAGCAAAACTGCTCCCTCTGCGACAGCTCGTGAAGTTCCCTTCGCAACATCCCATGTTTCCTCATCTCAGACTACGAGGAAGAGGTCTAGGCAGCTCTAGCGCAGTGTAGCACCACTAAACCTCAACAGAAGTTCCTTGTAATCATTTTCCTGAACGGCCAGGAGATTAAACCCGATGAATTTTCCTTTTCTGGAAACAGAAGATCCCAATCTAAGAGGTGAAACCAACAATACAAAATTATGGCAGGCGTCTATTTGGAATATGAAATCTTAGTCATTAAAAAAGATTATGGTATAAAATCTTAAAATTTTGAAATTCTGAAATTTTGAAAAAGGAAATTATAAAATCAAAGAATCTGAAATTTGATGTGTTACATAGACTCCTAAAAGGGCGGTGGATATTGAGTATTGTTGAAGAAGGTAGTAGATGTTGAAGAGGATTCAGATTGCTGCATGGGATCTGAATTTTGAAAGGGAGGATGGTGAGGGGTATTTGTGTCATTTCCCCACCTCCGATGAAGCTCCGGTAGCCGGAAGGGTCCTGAATATATTGATGTTCTTTGTTTGAGTTTCCATTAGAGGGGTATAACACTTGTATGTCCAAACCAGAGCGTACCCGAGGGTTATTTTTCATTAAAGATACAAATGCCTCTGGTAGAATATTCAAATGACTAAATTATTCTTTAATAGATCGTGTTTCGTATTTTCTAGACTTTTGGTTTCTTATTTTAGCTTAGTAGTATTCATAGCAGGTCCATTAATTTATAACACATTAAGGGTCCGTTTGGAAAGCAGGAAAATGACTTCCAGAAGACATTTTCAATATTTTTGTGTGTTTGGGTAAAATGGAAAATGGGAGGACATTGGAAATTCAGCATTGGTCTAATAGAAAATGAGACTTCTTTTTCGGAATTTGACTTCCCCATCTTGTCTTCGGAAATTGTTTTCCATCTTGCAAGCAGTAGCCTTCTTTGAACTTCATCCCACCTACCTGACAATCTCTCTTCTCTTTGCCTTCTAATTCTCTGTTTCTCCTCCCCTTCTTCGAACCCTAATCCAATTCTGGCCTTGGCAAGGCAAAAGGAGCAGTGGACGGCTCCAAACATGGCAGACCTTCGACGGACAACATCAGCAGTGTGGGTCAATACCTGGCCACTGGTCTTGATTTCCGGCACAGCGATTGGCCGGATTGTTTTTTCCTGAAATTTCCGGTGAGCAATTGAGGCAGCAGGCGACAAAAAAGGGCCATTCTTAGGCAATTTCGTCAGTAATTTCTTATATGCTCAAACCTTAGCTATCCTTTTACGTTTTTTATGATTCAATTTTGAGATTTCTTTTTGTCACTCATCCTCAAATTCAAATGGGAGATTTATTTTCATCACACCTTTTACGTTTTTTATGATTCAATTTTGAGATTTCTTTTTGTCACCCGTTCTCAAATTCAAATGGGAGATTTATTTTCATCACTCGTGTTCATATTCAATTTTGAGATTTTGTTCGTTGCTCATGTAATCATGTTCTTGTGTTCCAAAGTTGGAGATGCCATTTTTTTTCTTCATTTCGGCTTCTCATTTTCCAGAAATGAACCAAACAAAAAAGATAGTCTTCCAACTTTTAGCCAAACACCAACAACAACAACAACCCAGTTGAATCCCACTAGAGTAGGGTCTGGTGAGGGTGTGTACGCAGACCTTACCCCTACTCGAAAGTAGAGAGGTTGTTTCCAAAGAGACCCTGGCTCAGCGTTGAAAGGTGCATTGATTGACTAACGGCTACTTCATTAATTAAAGAAGCGCAGACAATTTATAGATCCATTTTGCTTTATTCCATCACACCCCAAAGCCAAAACACCCTAAAAGGAAAATGATTTATGGAAAATGATTCATTTTCCAGAAGTAATTTTATCCCTTTCCAAATGAACCCTAAAGTGTACCACAAACAACAACCTATGTCATCTAGTCCAGCAAGTGGGTTCTAGGGGTGGCTGTACGCAGATCTTACCCCTACTTATAAATGTAGATAGTCTCCTTCCAAAAGACCCGTGACAAGACATAAACGTGTACTGTGCTTAATTGATAACATGTCCAATGAATCACTTGTTAGACAGGACCAGATCAAAGCAAAGTATATTTTATTGTTGTGAACTTGTTACAGGATTCATTGTGTTCTCTAAATATAAATAGAGAACAAACCAGCACAACTTTTACTAACCAACACAACTATTACAAACCAACACACTTATTAACATTAGAAACTACCCATAACTGCTTTTAGAAACTACCCAACTGTTATTTTTAAATTAATTAAATATGTAAAACACACTAACCGACAACATACTAACTGACCCGAACATTGACTTATTACCCATTCAGTTATATGTAAACAAACCCGATTAAATCTAACGTCACTCACCTGTTCTTCTATTTTCAGGTAGAGTCCGGTATAAGTTTGCTTCATTTTGGAACAGAAACCATGCACTGCGAGGGTTGCAGCGTGCAACTAAGGACTATCATGCAATGTTAGAAGCGGAGAAGAAGGTTTGTTTTACAGATACTGGCTATTCTTTCTGTACTATGTATGTACACTCCTTCAATGGAGTCTTAGCCTGTATGTTGCTTTGCTTGGATGAGCTTTACAAAGGTTATTGGCCTGTGGATTTGTGTGTTAGTAATACAATGGCTAATTGTTCTGATTTTTTTGGTCTTCCTTTTACAGGAGAGGGAACATTCAGCACTACGTGCGCACAGTAGCTCTATTAAGGGTGCTAATCAACTAGCTGAGAGTCCAAAGGGAAGTGTGCCCAAGGCAGATAAGTTCCAACCGTTTATAAAAGAGGAAGTGCTTTCTGGTATATATAATGTACGTCTTATATGAGTTATATCCAAACTTGTTTCTCTTTGGACATACCAATTGTCGTTTCTGTAAAAATAAAAAACAATAATTCTTTCTTATAATGAATAATGAAAATTTTTAGGATGTTTTCCCGTGCACTGCCGAGCAATTTTTTGAAATGCTTCTGAGTGAAGGCTCAAATTTCACACAAGAGTATCGTGCAGTAAGAAAGGATTCAAATCTCACTGTAAGTTTCAAGAATTGTAACTAATTGTATTTGTGTACCCATTCATAGAAGTGATTGTGCTGTTATATGAATTGGGAAGTTTGCATTACTTTAATCCCATATCATTGAGTTTCTAAGGTAGTGAAATGCACACATAGTACGAAGATCTAAGGTTAATGAGTCAATGGGTTTGTTTTTTTAAAGATTGGTCAATGGCATTCTGCCGAAGAATATGATGGTGAAGTTAGAGAAATAAAATTCAGATCTCTTTGCAATAGTCCAATGTGCCCACCAGATACAGCCATGACGGAATATCAACATGCTGTTCTCTCATCAGATAAAAAAAAGCTGGTAATTTTTCTTATCATAATTTTTTCATGAACACTCAATAATGCTGTGTTTTTTCTGATAGTTCCATTTTACACTTAGTCCTTTTTCTTTTTCACTTTTTTCAGTTTTTCCCTATTCCAGGTGTTTGAGACTGTACAACAGGCCCTTGACGTCCCATTTGGATCGTATTTTGAGGTGCGTGCTATGCTTGTTTTTATTCTCTATTTTGTGTATTTGCTCAAAACTACATATTGTTTTGAGTTATTGTAGTTTAGTACCATCTTAGTTTCATTGTTTTACTTCGAGAACTGCAAATTCTCAAAATCTAGACAACAAGAATTCACAATTCAAAATGAAATACGTTTGAGCAGAGTCTTTTCCATAGTTGATTCATGAACACATGGTAGTTAGGATTGAATCTGGAGGACCTTGAAGGGGCATACAGATTGTAAGATTGTACAGCACACACACACACACACAGGTGCATAGTTTCACATGTAGATATTGATCATAGTAGTCAAGATCGGGATTCGGATCGTACGATCCTACGATTCCGCATATCGTTGAAGGCTTTGCGACCTGAATCACAGTTAAGAATTAGAAATCTGCTAGAATCATTGAGATTGGCATTTTGGATGTAAGGTCTCAGGATCGGCTGGGATCGCGATCGACGGAAACAAATTTAGGTTTGATGGAAAGACCTGCGAGAAATCTGTGTGGCCTTTAAAATCTACTTTGTATGCGTTTTTTTGTTCTGTATGTGTTTACTCCGCATTACTGTTTACATGTACTCGCCCATAACAATCAATTTTTCCATCATTTTACCCCCTTATTTTACCGAGTAATTATTTTGGACAACTTTGAATTATTTGACTATGAATAAATACTCGATATTATTTTATATATGAGTATAATAAATAAAATAATTTTATAAAAATTTAATTTATTAAAATACTCGTACATCTTGTAATAAGTCAATTATATTAAATTTACATTATAACTAAAGATACACACACACACATATGTATGTATGTATATATATGTATGTATGTATATGTATATATGTAGGATATTACGATCCGAGTCGCGATCCTACGAGTTACGATCTATACTAAGTCTATCGATCCCACATAGAATCTCAAGTTTGACTACCATGATATTGATTGTAGGGTGGCTAGAAGATGAAAATTTTCAATGCCATATAATTTTTATGCATTCTTTGAATGGCTATCGCAGAAAAACTCAATCTAATTGGAGATAAGTCCATGTGAATATGTTGTCGTTAATTAAAACTATTTTTTGGAGTAATGGCTTTTGAATATGTATTCTCAATAAAATTCATCAACAATAGAATTTATTGATGAACATAAAATTTCTAAAGTGATCGGCTAATCATAAATTGAAACAATAAAAGTATGTGAGTTCATTTTTTGGAGGTCGCAACTTGACCTGGTTGCAAGTTGCCATAGAGGTCACAATTTTAATTAGGAGCCCTTGCTGCAGCCATGTTTCAAGCCCAAAGAGCATTCACATGAGGGGGCATGTTATAATTTACGGCTTTTCATTGGCCTCCAACAACCAACTTCAGATTTTGGTTGAGTTTGTTCCTTGACAAAAGGAATAAAAACAGAAAGTCGTGAAGCCATGATATTTGAACATAAAAGAGAACAATAGAAGTATAGAACTAAAGTATAAAGTGCATAAAGACGAAAAAAATAAAGCCTCAATATTGACTGTTGTGTGAATAAATAAAAAACAAAGGATGCTATAAACAAAGACAAAACTGTAGCATTGAATTGCAAACTCAAAATGCAGCACAAGACTTCTAAAAACCCTTGTTCCTAGATAGCCACTATACTAGAGTAGTTTTTTTGTTAAAAGGTTTATTTCTTGTGATTCTTTGCCACCTTTATTTGAGTGAATTTGGTTCTATTACTGTATGCTCCTTTGCCAAATACGCCTCATTTGTTGCATTGCTCTGTGGACTTTGACCTGAGGGAATTTTTTTGAATGATGGGATTTTCAGTGTGAAATTAGATGCTGAACAAATTAGACGCCTGAACTTATGTGCAACTCTCTTTATGCGGACATATAACTAATGAATGTGGTTGTTCATTCATCTAGAATTTTGATGTTTGTTTTCTTCAGATTCACTGCCTGTGGTCTTTGGAAACTATTTCTGAGTCCACGTGCTCCATTGTTATAAAAGCTGGTATGCTTCTTCTATATCTAGACTAGATTCCTTTCCATAATTTTATTACCCCCTTGCTATGTATTGGAGTTGCCACATCGAAAAATAAAGAAAAATACACTAGCATATATAGAAGGATGAAGCCCTACCCATAAGCTTAAGCTTTTGGGTTAGAGTAGTGGATCCTGACCATAGTCACATAAATCGCGGTACGTTTCGGTATGGGTACGAAATTCGCTAGAGGTAACAAATTCGGTACGAAGGGGGGTAGGTTCATTTCGGTACGAAATGGTACGAAGCGGTACGGTGTACCATGTATTCGGTTCGGCATACCAAAAGTCAAAACATAAGTAAACAAAAATAGATAAGATGAGCATAAGTGCTTTATTATTTTTGCCCAAAGCCATTGAAAAAAGAGAGAAACAATTGAAAGTTGAGGACTTTAGGTTGGGTTGTGTGGTGAGACTTGAGAGGGTGAGACTATATATATATATATGTATGTATGTGTGTGTGTGTGTGTGTATATATATATATATATATATATATATATATAAAAGAAGATTGCCTAGGAAAAAGAAATATTTACGGAGAGAAGTATGGAGTTACGGAGGGAACAATCGCAAAACGTACGGAGACTTGGAACAACTCACGCGAAACTTAGGGAAGTGCAATCGCGAATTGGAACTTTTCAATTTACGGAGAGAACAATCGCGAATTGGAAGAGGGAAGGTCACGGAAGAGAGGAAGTCACGATTTGGATCGCTGGACCACCGGCGATTGGTACTCAACTTTCTCCGACTTGGTGCGACGTACCTGAGCATCTGGATCGCCGTACCATCGCGACTTGGAGCGCTGTACCATCACGATTTGGATCGTCGTACCGGTTGTGATCGGATCGCAGGCGACTTGCGATTGGGTACGACTCGTACCAATTCTGAAATCGCGGCTTTGGGAACGAATTCTGTAACTATGATCTTGACTTTATATGCAAGTGGTTAATTTTACTCGACACTCTATCCGTTGTTCTAGGCCCACTGAAATTTTAACATGGTATCAGAGTTGGTCCGGTCAGGGTTCAGTTCTTCCTGGTGGTTTGAATGTGAGTTTAGCGATGTTAGATTTAATCGGGTTTGTTCACATATTACATATAACCGAATGGGTAACGGGTTAATGTTTGAGTCGGTTAGTATGGTGTTGTTTAGTGTGTTTTACATATTTAATTAATTTAAATAAAAAACAGTTGGGTAGTTTCTAAAAGACAGTTATGAGCAGTTTCTAATGTTAATAGGTGTGTTGGTTTGTAATAGTTGTGTTGGTTAGTAAAAGTTGTGTTGGTTTGTTCTCTATTTATATTAGAGAACACAATGAATCCTGTAAATGGTACACATCAATAAAATATTCTACTTTGCTTTGGTCCTGTCTAACAATTGTTATCAGAGCGAAAATCCAATAAGGACCCAACGATCAAAGGGAGCAGTCTGTCTTGTGATCAGGAGTTGTACGATTGGGAGCAGAAGGGCTGCCAACTTCAACAAGATTCTTCCTCGCCTAGGACAAAAATAGCAGGTGGCTAGTTTTTTCCTTTGGCAGAAGGATTCCAACCAAACAGCGTGGGAAAAACGAATCAGCGGGGTAGATTTCGTTTAGTGGCTTGGAATACGGAAAAGCAGGGGCTTGTTTTTTGGTTGGTGGTCGATTGCAGGTGGCTTACGACCCGGGAAGGAATCAAAGTTATGAATTTTGTGAAAATTGTCGAAGGAATAAAAATCATGCAATGGGAGAAAAGCAAAAATAGACAGATTGTGACTACAAGGGAGAATAGTTAACATTTTGCCAACCTTAACCCGAGGAAGGAGATATGCAAGACAATCTACTATTCACTAAAAGTGATGGAAAAGAGAAGGATAATGAGCACAAAACTGAGCATTGTGGTTGTGGGAGCTTAAACCAAGAAGACTTTAAACGTGGCTGAGGTAGAGGTTGGGGGGTCCGGGAAAAGTCGGGATGGCTGAAGTTTGAAAAGATTCACATTAAGTCTTTCAAGTGAAATGAGTTAGGGCATTTTTTGAACGAATGTCCAAAATGGGATCAAAAGGAACACATTGCAAATTTGATTGAAGATGATGATGAACCAACGTTGCTTTGAAGATCAGTGTGAACAAACAATGATTAAGGGCGTGATTATTAGATTTAATTTGGTTTGTTCACATATTACATATAACCGAATGGGTAATGTGTCAATGTTTGAGTCAGTTAGCATGGTGTCGTTTAGTGTTTTTTACATATTTAATTAATTTAAATAAAAAACAGTTGGGTAGTTTCTAAAAGGCAGTTATGGGTAGTTTTTAATGTTAATAGGTGTGTTGGTTTGTAATAGTTGTGTTGGTTAGTAAGAGTTGTGTTGGTTTGCTCTCTATTTATATTAGAGAACACAATGAATCGTGTAATGTTACACATCAATAAAATATTCTACTTTGCTTTGATCTGGTATTGTCTAACAAGCGATATGAGCTACTCGTCCGTGGTTTGGGTTGAGTTGGCTATAAGAGATTGAGACGCCATCTTTCGTTGTGTGGGCTAGTTATAAGAGATTGAGATGCTAGACCCGTTTGTCGACCTAGTGATAACTAGACCAGGCTAGTTACCACTTGAGGGGAGTATTGGAGTTCCCGGAAAATAAAGTAGAATATACTAGCATATATAGAAGGGTGAAGCCCTACCTGTCAACTTAAGTTTTTTTGGTTAGAATAGTGGATCCCGACTTTATATGCAAGTGGTTAATTTTACCTGATACTCTACCCGTTGTTTTAGGCCCACTAGAATTTTAACACTATGCATGGTGCTTGAATTCCCAAGTACATGGCTTGTTTGTTTCAGAGCAAGATTAATAGTCATATTTGCCTAATATGTCTTGTACTAAGGCCATATTCTCTTCACCTGATCTGTATAGTTCTGGTTTGATTAGAAAAGTTCTTATCTGATTTGAATGTAGTTATAATTAAAGTTGTTTCTGATCTGATTCCAATAAGAATAAGTAATAAGTAAAAAAATAAGTTGAAGAGAACATGGCCTAATTCATTTCACTATGCATCTACATTTGTACTATGTAGACATTCCTGCGGTCTGATTAAGAATTCAGTTATTTGGTGACCAAACACTGGTGCAAGTTATAGATGTACCAGTGTGATTCCTATGGTGCTGTTGTTGACGATGCTAACCAGAAATCTAAATCAGCTTACATTTTAGACTTTCTTTTCGGCACCATTCCATCTCATCAAATACGTTTTAAAAGCACGTAATTCTGCTACCCTTTTATGGAACATACAAGTACTTTTGTTAAAGCATTCAATGTTCACAGGTGCACATTTTAAGAAATGGTGCGTGATGCAATCTAAAATCAAGGCTGGTGCAATCAGCGAGGTACGTCATATTGCCATGCACGCATTTTCTTTTCTTCTCCTATTTCCCCCCTCGTCGTGCAAATATCTCCCAATGATGAATCTTAAATCACTTACTTTTCCAGTATAAAAAGGAGGTGGAGCTAATGTTAGACGTGGCTCGCACATACATAACTTCCAAAACTTCAGCAAATGGTCAGAACAATATAGCTGTGTCTTCCCCATCAGTTACTGAAGAGCTTTGACAAGGTCCAATACAGATAAATGATACTCCATACATATAGAGCTCCAGTATTTGTTTTGCCTTTTAAATTGTCTGTTAAGACATGTCCCTAAACAGAAACAGATTTGTGTTCTGTTGGTAATCCTTCTCATCCATATATGTTTTGTTTATTTACATGCGTCATCTCTATAGTGGATATAAGTGTGCCCATTTGAAATATTTTTAAACAAATCTTCGAGCAACTTCGTACCTCTCCCTGTAGGTCGAGAGACTTCGTACGCAAACGGTTTTGTTGCATTCTCAAATACTCTTTTAGTTAAAAGAAGAATATTATTATCGAAATAATTATTTGATGTGGGTGACACGGTATACTTGGAGGGTGTTTGTGGGTGTTTTTTTGGTATTTGTTTTTCGTGTTATGCATTGGATACAAGCAATTTGGAATGTTCGATAGCTTTGGGTAGTGCATAATTTCCTACTCCGGTAATTCTTAGCTTCTGGTAGAGTAAGAGAGCTCCAGTGTTGTATATTTGGATCTACGGTGTTTTCTATATGAGTTATCATTTACAAATAACAAAATCATCAGTTTGCTCAAATATTTATTTTAGTATTTATTCAAAAACAGAAAAGTATGTGTTCTGTTGGTAATCCTTCTCATTCATATATGTTTTGTTTATTATGTATGGGTATTTGAGAACCACATAATGTTTATTATGTTTATATGGGATGTACATTTACAAGTAACACAATAGTTTTGTTCCCTTAAGATAAGATCTAAGAAAAAAATAAGAATACATTTGGAACCGTTGGATTTGATAGAATTTGAATCTTTTTTCAGTTCGTGTACTTAAGGCTTTTAACATTTCATCCATCTCTCTCGTATTTTTTTCCATCCGATCCTAGAAATCATGATCTTCACCCGAATTGGTCTCTCTATACCCGACTTCCCTTTTCCCCAAAATCAGCGTTGAATCCCACTCTAGCACATCCCATTTGGATTCTTCTCACTCGATTTTATTTTGTTCGTCACAATCAAGATTTTTGGTTTCAGTGAAACTATAAGTTTAATTATGAATTAGAGATGTATTCTTTGTTCACAAAAGTTGCTACAATCAGGTCGGATGCTTGGTGTTCATTCTTCTTTTCTTTTTTTTTCCTCAGTCATACGGCCAAACAACAACATGCCACATGTCCGATAAAATGTCCCAAAGATATCTTTGTTGCAACATACTCCTAGCCTTCTATTATTTCATTTTGTGTATTGCGTATCTCCTTCTAGCATTCTATTTTCATTTTGTGAGAATGATATAGGGTGTGGTCCCATACAAAATCAATTTAGTGCATATCAAAATCTATATAGCGAAAGTATCTAGCAAGTTTATGCACTAAGTTTGTATGTGCTCATATGGTTAAAAAGTGGTTCAAAACCAAAAAAAATCCTATGAGAATGATATTGGATGTGATTCCAACTTTTTTCATTATTTGAGACTATATTCGTAAAAATCTTTTATAGTGAGGTCCAAAAGTTAGAATTTTGTGTATCTTTTGACTTTCTTGATTGTGACAGTAGCATTTTTCTTGCCAAAATAATTATGTACTATTGTTTAGGATTTAAATTTTTCCATGTAGTATGCTTATTATAAAATTCATATACGGTGCCGGCACATCTCTTTTCCGGCAATCTTTCTTCTTCTCTTCTTGTTCGGATGCATTCTTTCTGCTCTAGGCGAAGAAATGCCTCTAACTTCTGATTACGATTGTGGTCATCGTTCAATCTTCATAGTCCAGGATGTTGGGAGCATGTTAAATATAACAATTGTTTAGTATATTTAATATCAAGAATTATAATTATGGTTGTTATCCATTATAGTTAGAGTTATTATTATATAGTATTACCTTATACGGAGTATTATTAATAGAGTATTCTAAAATATATTCATCCATCTATAAATACATGTCTTGTATTCCTCCCTTATTCATTCAACAATATATCATAATTATTTTATTTTCTAGAGAGGTTTTAACAACTCTCAACAAAAGATTGGGAAATCATGGTGATCATCTCTAAACAAATCCACCCATCAAACACAACCCATCACATGGAGAACATACTATGATTATTGATGAATAAAAAAACAACAAAAAATATATTCCTCCAGTTTGATTTTTTTTGAGTCAAACTGGATAAATTTTGAAACTCAATCAAGTACAGACTGTAATGAGTCATATTAATATAAAAATAAATTAGTATTACCTTATATTATTAATGGAGTATTCTAAAATATATTCATCTCTCTATAAATACATGTCTTGTATTCCTCCCTTATTCATTCAACAATATATTATAATTATTTTATTTTCTAGAAAGGTTTTAACAACTCTCAACAAAAGATTGGGATATCATGGTGATCAACTCTAAACAAATCCACCCATCAAATACAACCCATTACATGGAGAACATATTATGATTATTGATGAATAAAAAAACAACAAAAAATATATTCCTCCAGTTTGATTTTTTTGAGTCAAATTGGATAAATTTTGAAATTCAATCAAGTACAGACTGTAATGAGTCATATTAATATAAAAATAAATTAATTAAATTTATCTTGTAGAGAATTTTCAAATTTTTATTTAATTTCATCATATTAATAATACCGAGTAATGTACAATATTTTTTTAAGACAACGTAATATACAATAATGTATACTTAGAGTAATTGATAATTAATATTTGTTCACTGCGATCCCAAAAATTCAAACTAGACGAATACATTTGAGACAAAAGGATTATTGTTTATTAATTTTTTATTCTTTATAAAACCAAATGACAATATTTATTTTATTTAAATAAAAAGTACATATGATAATATATAACCGGTCCGGGCCGGTCCGGTCATGGGACAAATTAACAAGTGAGGTTGTTCCCCGGGTCGACCCCGAGTTGCCGGCAATAATCGGTGTAGTACTGGACCCTCTTGGCAACCGTCGCCGGATTAGCGCCGTTGCACTCCAGCCTCCCGTTGATGGCGCGGATGGTGGCGCCGAAGCCCTGGCCGGAGGTGAGGAGGGAGTGGCAGTTGTTCATCCAAAACCAGAGAGCGGTCTTGAAGGAGACGACGGGGTCGGTGGCGACGGCGTCGGGGTTGTTGAGGCCGTCGAAGCCGATGCTCTGCCCGGCGGGGCCGTAGTTGAAGTTCCAGGAGAGCTGGATGGGGCCGCGGCCGTAGTAGAGCTTGCCGGCGGCGCAGGGGTACTGGGTGTTGCTGCTGTCGCAGTAGTTCGCCGATGCGCCGTTGATCTCGTTGATGTAGCACAGGTCTGCATGCATGCACGATTTATACGGAGTATATGTGTATTTATATGCCATCCAATTTAATGTTTCAATGATACAAAGTATAATTAAAATGAAAAAAAAGATTAACATGCTTAAATAAGAGTGATATGTTATTATTCTTGGGACAGGAGTTAAATTGCATATATACAATGTCAATTGATCATAACCATATATATACTCTCTCCGTTCTGGAAAAGAGTTCCATTTTTGATCAAGTGGTAAAATAAAGAAGTGTTAAATTGTACTCTTTCCATTCCTTTAAACCCTTCCAGTTTTGACTTTGGGCAAAAATAAGGAAAGTGTAATTTTGGTCGACTTTCCAATTTTGCCCCTGATGTGATGGGTAAAAGTAAGATGTGATAGTTTTGTTATTAGTGAAAAAGTATGATGTGATAAGTAGGATATAAAAAAGTAAAGGTAAAAGTGGTTTTTTAATAGAAAGTGGAAGTGTTTTAGAAAAAAAATGAAAGAGGAAGGGTTTTATGGGACAGGGGGAGTAGTTGACTTTCAATTTTGTCTTTGATGTGATGGGTAAAAGTAATCTGTGATAGATAAATTACTCCCTCCGTCCCCCTAAGATGTTCTCATTTTGACTTTTGGTGGTTTTTAAGGAGAGTTGAAAAAAGGTGAAAGTTTACCATAATACCCTTAATGAAAAATGGGCGGAGTGTATTAAATGAGGTGGGTGAGGTGTAATAAATAAAGTAAGTGGGGGTATTTGTGGTATTTTAGTTGTTAAAAAATGAAATGAGAAGATCTATTGTGGACAAAGAAAAAAGGCTATTGAGAAGATCTATGAGGGACGGAGGGAGTATTAGAGAAAAAGTATGATGTGATAGATAAGATAAGGAAAAATAGAGATAAAAAGTGTTTTATAATAGAAAGGGAAAATGTTTTTGAGAACGGGGGGTGTACATTATAAAAAGGTATTGTGAAATGTCCACATACAGTGTCACATTGCAACAATGTGAACTCCTATTATGATACTTTTCATATATTTTATTCCTTTTTAAGATCACTTCTTAAAGTAAAAAAAACCAAAGTATAAAAATAAATCTGCCAAAAATCTAATAAACAGAATTTGTTTTTGGAAAAGGAGGGTGTACAATGATTAAAAAGTTGTGGTTGAGATAATGAAGGGAAGAAAAAGGCGTTAGAAGTCGCATCATATATGCTTCCATAAATTAAATGAAATCAGTTAAGCTTTCACAAAAAAAAACAAATTCCAAAGGGGATACTTAGCTTCATATTTCTCAAATAGATTTATTGTTCTTTTCAATCCATCTAAAAAAGATATATGTTATGTTTTAATAGATAAAAATATTTTATTTGATTGATTGGTAATATTTTTTTATTAATTATGTGCATAAATTTCAATCATATAAAATTTTTATTTTATTTTCTCGTAGATATATATGCTACCTACATGCCGTTGTACAGTATGTACCGTGTTGCCCAAGTGGATGGACTTTCCAACATATATAAAGGAAAGATACACATACTTGAACTTTTTTTTACAGAAAAAATAATACTCGTATCTCTTATTAAATGCGAACTATATTGTTTTATCAATAGAAAAAAAGATGACGAATGTCTTAAAATATACTCGGGTATAAACTAACGGATGAAATAAAAAATTAATATATTAATTTTTTTTTTATGAATTCGACTAGTTGTGCTTTTCTGAAATTAAGGAGCTGAATATTTTTGAAAAAAAAATTAAAATTAAAAATGGGCTTTTTATAAAACATTTTTAGAGAAAAGGAGCAATACTTGTAAGTTGTCGTGTTCTGTTCTTTTCATCCATTTTCAATTCACCTTTTAAATTAAAATACCTCGCATTAATTAATAAATTTGAAAAAGAATAATAAATCAATAAGTTCTTGAATTTTGTAATTTATATAATCAATTAAATTCAAATTTTTAGAATACTTCAGGCCAAATATCTTATGTTTCATTTGAAAGATTCTTATCTAAATTTTAAAAACAATCATTCAGCATAAAAAAAATAAATGGTAAACTTC